TCTGCAGGTTATGGGTTGTTTTGTGTACAAATGAAAATGCACAAAGCTACCATAAATTAATTTTGGTTCTGGAAACTGGAGTCAAAATGACATCTTTATAATATGTCACCTGCGTAATTATCTTTTGTGTTGTTTAGAAAGCCATTTTCAAATGAACAGGCAGATAAAGAAAACAGACTTTTCTTTTTTTTTTTTTGAAGACAAACACAGTTTGTCTTTTGGCAGTGCATTTAATGCATTGTGTTGCTTCATTTTTCTAGTCCAACACACTTCTGCTCAGCTTTTTTGGTAGGTTTATTTTCCTTTGTCAGCCTGCATCACCACTGAGGAGGGAGATGTCGAAAGAGTCAACTGGTGTCATAAGATCACCTCATTAAATCATCGTCACTCTGCAATGCTGTTTTAAAAGTTTGCAAAAGTGCTGTGTTAATGCTTGGTCAATGTTTTTAATGATTTTTTTATTTTAAGAGAAACTAATTAAAATCTCTATTTCCAAATGAAAATTTGGTTTTAAAATACAAAAGGGAACTGATGAGGTAGTTTGGCCTTTTTTTTTTCTCACAGCATGGAGACTGGAAAATAGAAAGCAATTTAAATTAGATCTGTAGATCCTTCAAACAGTTTTAAATTTAAAGCTCTGTTAAAATCCCCTAAACAAACCAAAACATAAACCAGACTCAGAAAAACCTTGCTCTATGATTTCCAAGTTGACAGAGCGGCCAGGGAAAAGCATCATTTTAAAATGGCCAGGGGAGAGGGTAGAGCTACAATTAGAAAAGGAAGGAGTTCAGACTCGGTTTTGTAGGTGCTGATTTGTTAAAAACTGAAAAATTTTGGCAGGTTGGCAGGGTATACATCAAAAGAAGTAACTGTTGGTTTATCTTCTCAGTCTTCACTGTTGGATTTACTTGTGGGATGGTTCATAGAATCATGGAATATCCTGAGTTAGAAGGGACCCAGAAGGATCACTGAAGTCCCACTCCTGGCCCTGCACAGGACCACCCCAAGAATCATACCATGTGCCTGTCATTGAGTCAGGGACGGATGAATGAGTAACACATAGACTCTAGGTCTCCTGAAAGCTAATAATAATTTTATTAGGAAACCCATTTCTTTTATACACAGTTCTGATACAGGTGGACCTGATTGGTCGTGTAATTAAAACAGTCACCATTGGCTAATTAAGAAACCACCCTTTGGTAAACATCTAATGAGAAGCAACTGTTCAAAACACCAGCTGCAGAGCCTTAAGATAAGAATTGTTTTAATTATTTTCTTTGAGCTTCTCACAACTTTTCCCAGAACAATTCCTGGGAAAGTTTATCTGGTTTTCTCTCTCTGACCAGGCTGTCACAACTACATGTGCCTGAAAAGGCATATGAAGCAGGTGGGAAATGTGTTTGCTGCTGGATGTTGAGATGTTGGGGCAGTGTTCCAAGAAAGACTGAATCATTCCAACAGCTTTGCAGTGGGAAGCTCTTCTTACTTATTGCACTTCTGACATATGCTTCTGTTGCCCTGTTGTTGGTGCCTGCCATGCTTCTATGAGCTTATTTTGCTATAACTGAATCACAGGTAGTTTTTTATGAGCTTAGGGATCTTGAGCTGGCTGGATGAATGTTGAAGTTGTGCAGAAGAGGTGGGACTGTCTAGCTGGCAGTAGAAGATAATGAATTGCCACTTAAAGTAACAGTTATTGAATGCACTCATCTGCAAAACCTTCCCCATAGAAATTTACTTCTTGATAGGAAAAAGGGGAGTGAGCCGTGTCAATAAAAAGTTTTACTCTCTACCATAAATAAGTATAAACATTGTCAAAAGTTGAGTAGTAAGAGTTTGTTCATGAAAAATGAGGTCAAAGCCAGAAGAGTGGCTCCAGTTTTCAAATCCTTCAACTTCAATTTCTTCACCAGGAAGGAGAAAGAAACTTTCAGTAATGTTGGTGATAGTTCATGCTGATAAATCCTTGACTTTCCAGCACAGAAATTTCAAAGAAAAATCAGAAGCAGATGCTTGAGTTTAATGTAAAAGCTGCATCTTTCTATGGTGTAATTTTGTCTCTAGTTGGCAATTTAAAGAGAACTAAAGCCCTTCATAGTTGCCTTAGACGTCTCTAAATCTGCCTCTTAAATTTACCACTTTAACACTGAAATGGATGCTAAAATCCAAGAAGTTACTCCGCAGTCTTGGCACTATTTATTCAGAAAAGTTGACAGTTTTACATGTCTAAATGCAAAGCAACGCTTAGTTCAGTTTGTGAGAGGTGCTACAAAATGCAGAGGAGATATGAAAAATGAGGTCTTGGCTGTCTATTAAGGTAGGTCAGGGAATGAGGAAGGGCATGAATGAAGAAGATCTGCTTGTTTGCTCAATTCAGTACAGCTAAAATTTCCTCTCCACCATATGTAGATATGTGGCAGTAGTCACACAAACCTGCTTGCAGGATTAAACTATCCCGAAGTTGCAATATATGGAAACTGAGCATGTCTGTAAATAATAATTGTGGTTGAGGAGTGATTTAAAATCGCAGAGTACGTGGTGAAAGGCATCTGGAACTGACTTCAGCTCGCTAAGTAGTTGATTCGAGTTAATGCATTCTGCAAAATCTGAAGTGTATGTATTAGTTACCTGGTTAGCTCATAAATGAAACACTCTTACAAATTAAATTTATAGGCATTTTGTCTTAGCATGGAATCTTATCAATTACAGTTTCAGTGCAATAATTAAGTAGCTTAATTTTAGTGAAAGTAGGCAGTCTTTCATTCTTTGTTTCAATTATGTCAGTTCTTGAGAATGACATACAATGGCAAAGAGGCTATTAATATTCTCCATGCTTTTCGAGCCAAAACATTTGGAGACCATCCAGAAAAACAATGGGAAGAATTATGTAACATGCTTTTAAAGGGTTAAGGAAAAAAATAAGTATGCTGTTGTCAAGTCAGTATGGTATGAAATCCTAGTCCATGTCAATTGAAGTTAATTTGCCTTGTCAGTTGCTTTCAGCTATGAGCTGTTGGAAGTAGGCTACCCTAGTTCCCGTGCTCTGGTTCTTGCAGTGTAGGGATGTGCTTGGCCATAAGATTAACCAATAAAGAGGTGATTAATCCATGGTGTCACTGAAATTAAACTTCTTGCCCCAGACAGTTTATTACACAGTTCTTTTTACAGAGCTTCAGGAAGGTTATTGTTTGATCTCTGAAACAGAGTGACTGCTTAGTTTAAAAGTAAACAATTTCTCTCTATTCAGTAGAAGTGAAGACTTCTACTTGGATCATTTGCTAAGCTTTTAGAAATGGTAACTGGTAAATTATTTTAACTTCAAACACAAAAAAAGTTATTAAACCTAAACCCTATAATATTCAGCTACCTGCATGGATAAAAGCAGTGCAGTGTGTTTTGCTTTGTTGGCTGTTAAACATAGGCTTATGCCCTATTAGCTGTCTGCTTGTTTTTAAACAGAAAGTTTAAATTACTGAACATACTGAGTCTCCTGTTTGTAATTTATCATTAAATTTAAAAGCTAAAGAGAAAATCAGCTTGGAACTGGAACATTCATTGTACAAAGATGCTGTATGGCTGATGTTGGGGAGTAGGGTAGTATTTTTGTGATGAGTTATCCATTGCAATTAGAGCTGTGCTGTGAAGTGCCTTATGAGTGAATTTATGTTTAAACCTATTGAAGGAGTGCTACTGTGCATTTGTGGTAAGAATGTTTGTTTTTTTTTTTTTTTTGTGACTTTAGTCTTGATGTCTATGGGTTATGTTAGTTTTAGACATTTATTTTGAGTTTGCAGTTGGCCATAAGCATTATGGAACTCTGTTGTTGCAAAACTAGAAATAAGAGAAAAGTTGGAGTGACCTGCTTAGATGAGAAGCATTAGTGTGCAAAGGGCAGGTATACCTTTGTTCACATATCTTAAGTGATTTTAAATTACCTTGCATATGTGATCGTTCCCTCTGAAGTTATCAGGGACATCACTCACTGCTTGTCTGCTCAATTCAGTACAGCTAAGATTTCCTCTCCGTCAATTAGATATGTGGCAGTAGTCACACAAACCTGTTTTTCACAAGGACTGTTGTGTTTTCAGCATGAGTTGTACAGTGGAGAGTAGAGGTGAAAACTCCTCTGGTGTGTTCTTCCTAATTACTTGTTCTGTGTCTCTGCCTGTGCATTCTTCCTTCTTACAGTGATGTCTGATTCAGCAAATGCTCTTAATAGAAATTCTGTTTGAACTTCATTGGAATTTATGGATTTATAAGTGTAAATTTGAAGTGTACTTAACTGGTAGTGGATAGGGAATGTTCATTGAATGTGAGCCAGAAATATCTTTAGTTATTTATTTTAAGAATGCGACACTGCGTTTTAATTTTTACAGGTTTTTTACAGGTTTTATTTCACATCCTCTCCTGAGTAGTAGCTTTTCACCTCCTGTTACTCTTCCTGCTTCCTTCTTTCTTTTCAGCTCAAATTCATCATTTCGGGATTCTTAACTCCAAATCTGTATTGCTGTTTATCTGATGAGTAGAGTAGTAGAAGGCAGTTAGAATCAGCAAACCCAAGTTGTAACTGATGTCTTCTTGTTCTTGTTTTTTTTTTTAAGTTAAAAAAATGAAAAAATTACATGTTTTCTAAAGGTGTCTGTTTTGTGAACTGGCATCACTGAGGAACAGCAGTTTTTGTTGTGCTTCCTAATGGCTTCTTTGGCTTAAGCTCCCTTTTGTCTCTTTGGACTGAAACACAGGAGCTGGCAAATTGCTCCATGCTGAAATGAGTGCAGCGTGCTGTGCTGGCCAGTTCTGTCTCCCTGTGGCCACATAGGTGCTGCTGCTGATCTCATATAATTAATTGAGATGTGGGCTTCTTAAAGACTTACAAGCTGACTTCAGTTCTCTGTGTATGACAGTTATGGGTGTATGCATGACTGTACACACACACATGAGTACAGTAGAGCTCTCTTTTGACGTATATATACATACCTATGTGTATCTTTTTCTTAAAGATATGGACATTGGTAGTTGGTTACCTGCTGATGGTTTCATTCAAGTGGAACATAAGCACTGAACGTTACTTAAAAGCAATCTCTGTTCCTGTCTGGATTATGCTGCTCTTTCACTTAGGTGAGTAACAAGAAGTTATTATTCTGATATCTGAGAGTTCAGTAAACAAAGCTCCTCACTTGCTCTTCTACTAAATCTGTGAAATAGAGTCTTAGCTGAAGTTCAGACTGTTTTTTCTGCTCAGTAATCTGGCTGCTTGTGTCCAGAAGGGAGCTTTAGAGTAGGGAATGGGAAGGCATCAAAATGCTGAGCAACGTCTTCCACTCCTCATGCCTTTGTATTTCCTGTGGTTTCCCCTTATTTGGTTCACAATGTGAACTTCTTGACAATGAGGAAAGCCTCATGTGAGGCTGGCTTTAGACATTCATTTGTGATATTTTATTGGAAGCCTGCCATTAACCAAAGCTGAAGCTGCAAAATGCATTTAATAATGGTAACAGAAGCAAAAAAAAAAATCTATCCATATTCAACAAGCATATCAGAATGATATCAGCAGTATAAAAATACACTTGCCAGTAATTTATATAATCTATTAATACAAACATAAGATTATAGTAATCTTTTAGACTTATGTTACACATTTAATATAATAGATTATCACCTTATGTTCTCATATCAGAGTTCATGGTGGAAGAATTGTGCAGTTAATAGAAGACTACCATGATAGAAGGTTTCACATTGTACCTCATGATTTACTTTACTTTAGCAGCAGGTTTCAAGAGTTGTTCTGACCATGTGAGGATGTGTTGTGGTGTGTTTTGCTTTGTTTGCCCCCTGTTCTCCTCCCTAATCCCCTCCCTTTCCCAGTTGCCAGTTTTCCCAAGCCCTTCCCTAACCTCCTCCCTTCCAAGCTGTCAATCCTCCCTATCCCTGCCCCTTTCTTCAGAGAGTTCTCTGTCTGTTTTGTTGCCCTCAACACCCCATTTGTTACTTTTTATTATTATACCCCCTCATTTGCACTGATAGGCTAATAAGCTAATTGCCCCACCTTATACTCCTCTTTTACCATATCCTCATTGGGTCACTTTCCTACACCCTTCCTCCTGCGTTGCTGTATAAAAACTTTTGTTCACCACCCCTCCAGTCTTGTCCGGGAGCCCAGGAATAAATCCACATTGTTCTACCCCAAGACCTGTGTCATCGCTGTCTGTCCCTGCCAGACCTGCTGATAACTGGGAATTGCAGAGCTCGCAGGGGGACAGTCGCGCCCCGCACAGTGCGCGCTGCAACAAGGGTGCTTCTCTGAGGTTTAAGCTATATGTACTGACTTTGCATTTGCTTAGATTTTGACAGTCTTGTATTTACTGGATGTACAGGCTGAATAGGAAAAAAAATCTCATTCTGTGGAGATCTAGCATAAATACACATTTTTGGGGGGAACATGACTTTTCTCTGATACCGAGAATGTTTTGATTTTGTGTGTATTTTCATGTGATTTTGAATGTTGTTTTCAAAATTGTTCTCTATGTTAACATAATATGACTGCAGTTAGGAACAGTAACAACTTGGTTTGTTCGTTGAGAAACTTGTTCATATTTGTTTTCTGTTCTTCCTTTTCTTTAATGCAGAAAGCCTGTTTGTTTTACAACTTCTTTCGTTTTTCATTGATGTGCTGCCTTTCTTGATTTTGGTCAATGTAGGGTTTACTAATGGTGTAATTTCTCTTGTAAAAAACATCCCAACACTATATCTTTCAGCTTCTGTGGCAGGTTCCTGGAGAATTCCTGTATTTCTGGTTATAGTTGTTCTGATGACAGTAGGCATGTTGCATGAACAGCAGAATGGAAAGGAGTCTTCTGGTAAGGAAAAGTCACTCTTTCTTTTACTGTTGGAGGCAAAAATTCACTTAAGTCAAATGAAATAATATGGACTGTATCCCCATAAATTAAATACCATATGGATTACAAGAATTTAGTATAGGATGCTTAGTGTGTTTCAAAGTGGTTTACTCATGCTGAAGTGAATCTTGGATTCTTTACAGAAAATTATTGTCATGGACTGATGTTTCTTTTCCATGGTAAAGTAGCAACTCATTATTAAGCCAAATTCCTTGAGTTCATGGATTTCAATATGCAATTTCAGGCATGAAGGTAGACCAGGATGTTTGAAATCAGAGGCTAATTTTGAAAGAAATGAGCAATATGGGTTTAGTAGCTCCTAAAATACTGAGTAGGAGAGAAACCAAGACAGCTCCATCCAGCAAGTTTCCAATATCTAGTCATTTGTTTTTAAAATAGTTTTGTAAAAATATGTTTTGTGTTTAGATTTTGAGAAGAATAGTTTTTTCCTGTTGCAAGTCAATTTAGAAAAAAGTAAAGGCATCATAAATTCCTGATGAAGGAAACCTTTTTCCTGTCTGGCTGTTTTAGTTGGTTAGTAAAGTTGATTACTGGTATAATTTTTTTTTTTTTTAAATTTTGCTGTCAGCAGCTGTGAATGTCTTGGTTGGTAGCAGCTCATTATCAAGAAAAGCACTAAGCAGATAACTGGTTTTGAGTTTTGGCTGCAGATGTGTTGTAATACTAAAATTAATAGCACTCATTCTTGTTTGATCATATTGACTACATATAATACATACTAAACATTAACAGCATCTATCCATATAATTTCTGCTACCTGACAGCTCCAGTGGATATCTAACACAAAATAAAACATTTTAAGGCTTAATCTTTTTGTTACTTACATGCATGTATATATTTTACAGGGGCGGAGCTTCCTGGTCAGGTGATTTCCATTGCTGCTTCAACAATTGCCATGGCAATTTCAATGACAGAAGATGAGTCCAATAATGAACATTCCTCCCAACCCTCAGGTGACTGAAAACTCTGTAAGAAACATTTGAATTTGCTCTAAAGGCATGAAAATGGATGGAATTCAGATAAAATTTCAAAATAGTTCATAACCTCTTAATTTTGTCCAAAATAGTGTCCAAATTGTGAATCGGGTTTATCTGTTTTTAGAAAATGTCAAGAAGATGCTAGTATAAAAGCTGTCTAGCAAAGGATAGTTTGTGGCTGTTGAAGACCTGACTAGAAGGTTTTATTATTATTTTGTGGGTTTTTTTTAATGAAGATGTAATTTTTTTCCCCTGTTTTTCATTGTTAATTATCTTAATTTTTCTAGCCTTTTGATTTGTTGTCAGTTACATATTATATAACTGTATTTCTGCCCCAGGTACAGACAGACTGGAGGAATTTTTGTGTACATTGCAGTGAGAAAAAAAAGCACCACTTAAATTATGGCATGCTCAAAGTCCTTCGTATAGTGAGTTTACTTGACTTTGTGGCTTGAGTCACATGATACTTCCACTTACTGTAACACAATTGGCTTAAAAGAGTTCAGACAAAGTATTTAGATATCCAGTGCTGATTTGGAACTTTACCACCTTTTTTTTTGTGTAGGTCTTTGATGAAATGTGATAGTAGACAATTAAACGGAGATCTCTGGAAATTGAAAAGTTTCATCCATTTCCTGCAAACCAAACCAAAAAGATAATTCAACTTGACAGAATGTGAACTTCCAAAACTTAATTTTTAAATCTAAACCCAGCAGCTTTAGACAACTTAATCTTAGCTTTTTTTTTTACATTTTATATGACTATCATCAATATAAACATAAAAGCCTATGAAATTATGTCCTGAAATTTGAAATCAGAGCATTATGGTAACAGTTCTGTATTTATGTGTTCATTCTTTAATTTTGGAAATGAGAAATTTTTTTAAGCTGAATTATGAAATCTGGAAAAGTAACAATTGCCCACAAAGGGGCTATGGAAGTGATTGTGTTCTTCATTGCTATTTTTTTAGTTTACCAGTTCTTATTTTTTCTCTTCTTTAAGACAGTTGTCTTTCTGTTTTCAAGAAGAGATAACTACAGCACTTTTTCAAAGGTGTCTTTTATATTTTTTTGACTACTCTTGAAACAGCTAACCAGATGAGGGTTTTTTTGTCTTGTGAATTCTGTTGTTTTCCTTCACAGGACAAAAAAAAAACCCATGGAGTTTTCTTTTAACTCCTAACAGCAGTTAAAATAATATTCCAGCAATCTGGTAAAAATTAGTATTCTGTTCTGTGATATGTTAATCATAATTTTGCCTATCTTCGGTTTGGATCTTTTGAATGATGATGAAATACTATTCTTATACAGCAAAAAGTTTTACCTACAGGTTTAAGAACTCACAGCTTTTTTGGTTTTCCTGACACTATTAAATCCATTACAGAACAATCAGGCTTAAAATCGTGTATTAAAAAACCATGAGGGAGTATAAGCTTTGCTGATTTTTTTCTGAACACCCATGTTTTTCCATGTTTTATTGTTGAATACTGGTATTTAGTACTGGGGGCGAGGAGTTCAATGGTACCAGTTTGTGTGGTCTAAATGGTCCTTCCTGGTATTCCAAGAGTTTCCAGTGTATACAGCAAAGAGGAAGTCTGCAATTTCTGAAGCAGATACTACTGCAGTACTTTGTGGACAAGATTCTATTGTCTTGTTGGCTTCAAATATGATAGATACTAAAATCCTTAAATGAAGTCATGACTCTCAGGTTCCCTTTTGCCATCACTTCTTTGTTTTCTTAGAAAAAAAGCATAAGAAGTATTTTTCTTGTGAAATTACAGAAAGATGTGGTCCTTAATGGAGTACCTTAATTCTGATGTTCTATGGACTTCTTCATTAATAGTAGTAAAATTACTGTTTTCCTGTCTTATGCACTGCATAGAGATACAGAAACCTGTCTTTCTATGTTACTGTTCCTTTATCTTCATGCTGGGGAGGAGAATAATTCAAAATTCTGTGACAGCGAGGAATTGATGTGACAGAGAACATACCATGTAATGAAAAGAACAGGTCTTAATAAGACAGCCTATGAAATTTGTTATTCAAAGAAGTACCATTCATTCTGATTTTGCTAGAATTTTTTCCTAAGTATTTTGCTAGCTGTTTAGACTGTCATACTTCCATTGGTTGGAAGATAGAAAGGTGCTTTTCAGGTTTCATCTTTCAAAATATCATGAAACACACTAAATGGGATTTTACAAAAACAGAAGTTACTCAAAATCACTGTACTGACAGTTCTGTTTCTCTGCTTGTATTGACAAGGCACACACCTTGGTTTGCAGAGCATATCTTGCCAGCAGAAGGTGACTGTTTTCATTTGCAATTTTGGTTCTTCTTTGGGTGGATGTGCTTTGTGAACTGGTTTATGAGAGTCATCTAAATGGCTGTTCTAATGCAGGCCTGTGTTTGTCTTGAGGAGAATACTGGGTCATTGGGATTGACTATTTAATTTTGCTGAAAGTGCTGGAGAACTCCATTCTGAAAAAGCTTTCTTGCTTTGGGATCCCCTAGAACTTTTTCTTTTCCTCTTTCTTTCTTTTCCTTTTTTACTCCCTCATCTCTTGCTCCTGTGTTTTGTATTCTGTACAGTCTGCTTACAGGAAAACTGTAAGAAATAAGACTGTTAAATTGTTACTGCTTTTAATGTTACTGCTGCTGTTATTTAATTAAATCATTATTCATTACAAAAGTATGTCAATCAAATTTTTATTACTAAAAGAAGGAAGTTTATTTTTTCCTAAAGGCGACTCTACTAAGGAGTTTTTGGGCAAAATGTATTTTATAACTGTAATCTTAGGCATAGGCTTCAGTTAATTATTCTGGTTTTGCTTTTAGTGCTTCCTTTTGTTTGATAAATATTTGAGTTTCTGCTTTTTTTATTATTACTTCTTATGTTGATTATATTAATTTTGGAGCAGAACAGTAAGAAGTGTTGAATAAATTGAAGGGGAAGATTTTTTATTATGAGTATACTGCTTTCAAATTTCTGTTCCTTTAGTGCATCCATTTGTTTCTGTTAGTACTCTTCTGCTTTATTACATATAGACTGATAAATACAGGGGAGTCATAGACCCTCTTCTATACTTAGTCTTTTTATGAAAATTTCTGTTTACAGGTGACTTTTTCTCTCCCCTTATAAAAAGTTGTTTGTAGTTGGTATAGTAGGGCTGGCCATCATGCCATGGAGATAGATATGCACTGATTTGCCAAGAACCTTTCCACCTGAAGCTTGTGCTGTGCTTATCTGCTTGCAGAATTCCTTCTTTCAGGTTGCATGCCATAGTTCCTTCATGAAATTCTGAAGTTGCACCAAATACATAACCAGCAACCATCTGATGTTTCTGTCATTATCTCAGTGTTACTCCCAGCTGGATGAATCAGTTGATTTGCATTGTTGTTTTGGTGTGGTGGGGATGGTCTTCATAAGCTGTAAAAGTAGTTCCACTTACCTAGGATACCAGTGCAGATTTCTGCAATAAAAAAGAAGTGTTCATTTGCTGTGTGAGGATGTAGTTTGTCACTTACTCTTACTGTATGACAAATGAGTCTTGCCTTTTTGAACATTTAGGCTAGAAATGGCTGTAGTGCTAAAGCACTTAAAAATGTGTGTGTGGAACATGAGTAGTTGGACTGCTGAACATGTAGTATGTTGTAGTGCAGTTTTTATGCAGTTTTTCTTCATGGGAGAAGATGTGTCTGTGACACAAATCCAGTGAAAGAGTTGTGTTCATCGTTTACCAGCTGTGTGGTATGTACCAGCATATTAAATAGCCTTTTATGCTTCAGCATGGAGTAACTTTTCAGGTTTTTCTGTGTGTGTGCATTCCTGCACCATGGCTGCAGACTTTCCTCAAGTAGTGATGTGTGGGAAATGTGGGCATTTGGACAACAGCACAGAGCCTCAGGAAAAGTTAATACTTTCGTGTTCTTGGGGAGAGATTTCATGTAGAGTGGCTGCATATGGATTTGGTGTCATCCAGCAACTGAAAGATTAAATAAATAAGTAGCCATGTTCTGCATCCAAGAATTTTAGTTTCAACATAATATTTTTGCATGAAAAGACTGTTGTTTATATATAGGTTCTTTAACACATCAGTTTTCATTTTTGAATTTAAGTCCTTGTTTGCTAACTTATTAGTGAGAGACTGACAAAATTTGTTATCCACTAACTTGTGCTTGATATTACTAATATTTGTTACACAGAGCAAGAAATTTAGGATGACAGTGTGAGTGCTGCTATGTTCGTGTTGCAAGTGATCTGGAAAAGTAGTAGTGAGACCGTTGTAAGATACAAGTTTTCAATGTATACTCTGTATTTTTTGTTCTGTTTAAATGAGTTTTGAGCAAATCTAAGATTCCTTTTTGAGTACTTGAAATAAAGGGAAGGTAAAGATTTATTTTAAGACTTCAGATTTCTTCTAGAAGTTAACTGTATTTTATGGTTTTCATGGTTTTATGGTTCTTTGATAAAACATATTTGGCTTGTAATCTACCTGCAGTGACAGGAGTCCTCTTAGAGGCTGTAACAACTTTTCAGCTCTCCTCCTCTCAGCACTGCTTGGCATGGTGATGCAGGATGTGGGAGGGTTTATACAGCCTTGGTCTAGCTCTTCAGGATGCAGGTTGATGCCAAGGCTCTCTTAGTCTTTTAGAGAAATTAAAAGGAAGAAAAAAAAAAGCAATCCCAAAACAAACAACAAAAACACAGCCTTCTGCTGCTGTCCCTTCCTTCACCCCCACCTTCCAAAAAATAGGTAATTTGGGAATAGGGAACATATTCTATTTTTGTGGTGAATATTAATGTGATAATTTCCACTTCTTTGTTTGCACGTGTTTGTTTTAGGATCAACAGCAGAAAATGATCAGCCTCCACAAGCTTCATCATCTTTCAGCACCTCCTCGTCATCATCTTCTGGGAACAGACAAAGAACTGAGATTGGATCTTTTCTTAGAAAAAAGAAAACTAGTGATATTTACTTTGTTACTCTTGTGTGGGCCATTGTCATTGTCCAGATCTGGCTAAATTTCTGGATTGTGCAGCTATTACCAGTGCCATTTGCAGGTAATAATCAAGTTACTAGAAATGTTTGGCATCATGTTAAATAAAACAGGAGGAAAGGCTTACAGTTTTAAATAAAAACCTTTTCATGACTTGTTATGACAAGATGAACTTCAAAAAAGAGGATTGATGTGCCCTGTCTATTACCATGTAGTGGACAACTCTGTTTAATTGCTTAATTGCTTTGTCTATTGACTATTGTAGTTACCTGAAATAATGTAGTGCCATACCTTACATAGTAAGAATACTTCTGGTTTATACCAGTGAGTTTTTCTTCCTCCTGATGTCAATTCTTTCATATTTTTGCACCTATAAATGAAGAATATTTTAGCTGTTATTCAGTAGTGAAGTAGAGCTCATGTTAACTTTTAATTTCTGTAAAAATGGGTTGCTAGGCACTGTGGACGAGTCACAAGATAAAGTTAGTTCCAATTTTAGGTCTGAGGTTAATTAGATTTGTTGCTTCACATCTATATGCATCTGTTCTCCTATATATCTGGCAAGAATTGGAGTAGTTACAATAGCTATCAAAAGATACTATTTTAAAACTGGATTCCACTTTTTCCTCTACTCTTTTGGGGGAGTGCAAAGGGAAAATGGGAATTCTAGGAGTATGTGTCAGCTACTATGAATTAGAAGGCATTTCTTCCCACCCCCCTACTGTAAACAAAGTTTCCTAGTTTGCTTGGATTTTCTCTAAACTCCAGTTAAAATGCTAGTTTTTAGCATTTCAAAATGCATTTAACACTTGAATGTACCTATTTTCTTTTTTACTGAGTGCTGTGGGTTGATCCCGGCTAGTGGCCAAATAACTTCAAAACCAGTCATTCTTCCAGTGTTCTAATGTGGGCTTATCTGTGAGCTGAATTCCCTTTAGGGAGTATGGGCTTGGGATGTTCCTTATCCCTAGGCCACAGTCCTTTCAAGAGGTGTGCCTACTCCAGCATGGATCCTCTGTAGGCCATGGTCCCTCTGAGTGGTGTGTCTGCTCCACTGCAGAGCACTTCTGCTTCCCTGGCCTTTTCATTACCTCTCTTCATCCCTCTGTTCCTTTTTCCTCTCTATTACTTTTTCTGTGTTCCTTCCTCTTCTCCCTGCCCAGGGGTTTCTGCCTTTCCTTAGATACATTTCCACTGAAGCACCACAGCCATGCCTGATGGGCTCAGCTTTGCCCAGTGATGGATCTGCTGTGAAGCCACCTGGAGCTGTGTCTGGGACAAGGCACCCCCTGGTCTCTTCCCCTGATGGCCACCCCAGAGGCCACACTGCTAACAAAGCCTTGAGGTCTGTGCACAGTGCACAAAGCTACTGTAAACCATCTGGAAATTGTGACTTGGGGTCATACTTAGCTATTTGAAGGGCTGTGAACTCTGAGGCATGGAGAAAGGAACAGCTGCACCTTTGGCTGTGGCACTGTAGCAGCAGCAAAGGGTAATGTGGTGGCAAGACATATAAATATAGCTGAATGCAGGGTAAGAGCAGAGAGGGGTTTGACCTTTGTTTCATTCCAGTATAGTTACTTCGGAAGAAACTTGCCAGTTTTGGTGTCTGGGTGTCATGGGAGATGACAATCATGAGTCAAAAAGCAATTAGAAAATAAATTTTAGACTTACTAGAAGCTGAGCTTATGTGACTAGTTTACTGAAAAGTCAAGGAGTAACTTAACCACTGTTCAAAAACATTTACATGTGAGGAAGAAGGGAAGCAGCAGTTCTGCAGTTAGACAGAAGTGAATGGTTTAAGCTTGAGCCACACAAGTCTAGATTAAAGTACACGTCTAAATGAGACAGATGAATACTGCTCCTGACAGTCACTAGGTCTAAAATAACTACCCAAGCAATAAACTCAAGCCAAAAGAGAAATTACTTTTGGGAATATTTGTGACTTGTTGCCTTAGCAGTGACACTGGGCATGATGTCCTTTTTTGTGGCATAGAACTGTATCATCAGAAAAATATTACACCTAGGCAGTATAATGATGAACAGAGCTAAACTTAGAGGATTACTTTAAGTGTCAGAAGGTGAGTGATGATAATCTGCATTGCTAAAAGAGAGGTAATAGTAAAAATACTAGGAAAATAGGAAAGCTAATAAAGCAAGTTTCCTTGTAATGGTTCAAGTTTAAAGAGACTAGTAATAACTTGAGACGCTTTTGAGACCTTAAACAGGATGCTTCTAGTATGTAAAAAAACCCCAAAAACCTCCTCAAAACCTTAAACAGAAAGGTGTTAATTTTACCAGAGTTCCTTATAATAGTAAAGTGGACTCATACAATGTAGCATTTTGATTATTAGAAACATCTTGGTACAATTTACATTTTTCCTTGAATGTATTTATACTTCGATTGGAATGAAATGGTCTTTTAAAATTGCTTAGTGTAGAGGGTGGGAAAATGATACCATAATTATACCATAAAATGAAAAGGTGAAAGAACTGCTATGAATCGAAAAGCTAAGCAATGAACCACGTTGTGGAACACTTGCAGCATCTTATTGAGTGATACCGGAAATCCTGGTATTGTCTCTTTAAGATCTTTCATTTGCTTCCTTGCTTGTTCTGTTGCATCCTTCCTTTTTTTTAATAGTTTTCAGGTAATTTTCTGCTTCCTGTAGATGTTTATTACTTCTTATTATGCAGACTTTTTCTTGTTTTGCTCACTGCTTTCTAATAACAGTCATTTAGACTTTCCTCTCTTGCCTCTTTTTAAATTAATGCGATTGCAGCTGTTTGATTGACTGTAGCACCTTCTTTGCAATGAGTGTACAGTCATTTATTTTAGAAGATACTGTGTAAACACTTGTTCTTAAATAACAGTGGAAGACTAGAATGCCATTTGAGGATCTTGTTCACCTTGTAAAGTGCAAGCCTGCCTGGCTTTGCTGAGCAGCAGTTTGTGACCATGAGCTGCATTTCATCATGCAGAACTTCAGCCTTTAAGTTCAGTGCTGGCACTTCCACTGTATTTTCTCCTTTTTTGTGTCTTTGCCACTCTTTTTATTAGAGAAATTGTTGGATTATTCTGTTTCTTCAAGAGAATAAATCCCATATTTGCCACATGGTGGTGCCAAAGGGTAAGTAAACTAAACCTCAGCAAATTTTTGCACTGGCTCTCCAAAACAAGAACATAAACTAATGCATGTGTGGCTTGCAGAGAATAAGCTCTTGGATAAATGCCCTGTAGGCAGTAAAAGTTAACCTTTTTGGTTATGTATGCCATTTTACACGTCTCCAAGTAGAAACACGATGTGAATTTTTGATGATGTGGTGATGTCCTGCCAGCTGTTGCAGAGCTCATGTATGGCAGTAAGTAATGAATCTGATTTGGATAATAGTCACAATAAAAAAAATTATTAAAATTAAAGTTACATAATAGTGATAGAAAGTTCAGTATTCTGTGTTGCCAAGATAAAATGCTAATCACAAATAGCTTTTTTTTAAGGTTTAAAAGAAAAACCAGTAATATTTCAAAAGATTTAAATGGATGCTTCTTTACTGTGAAATTTGGCATGATGTGGTGTCATTTCTTGAAGGAAAGATAGTGTTTAACAACTTACAAGGCCTAAAGCTTAAGAATTTAGGTTGAAAATTTTCTTTTATGTGTAAAGTGTTGTTAAGTTCTGATTGTGGTACTTTATGTGGAGCCATTTGGCATGGGGTGTGTGTGTGTGGATATGGAAGAAATCCACTGTACTAGAATCATGGAGCGGCACCTTCTTATCCCAGGCCTTGAGCAAGTCTGAGCTGCATTATTGGGTAGTGTGCAGTCACTTTTCTTGTGCTGTCATCTGCGTTCCATGTGGATAAGCACAGCTGCAAAGCCAGTGAGGAGATAAGCACTAAAAACACTGGCAAATTCCGGAAGTTTTTAATGGGAAATAAAACTCAAGAGTCTTTTATTTTCATCAGTCTTCCAGAATAGAATAGAGTCTAGTCTTGTAGTGCTCCTCTGAAATCTCTGATACTAAATTTCCTTCTTGTGGTTACAGTTTGGGCACTTAAAAAATCCGTGGTTCATTTTGGAGTTCTGAACTTCATGGGAAACCACTGCAAAAGTTGGTGGCAACTGGTTGAAAATTTTGTGAAGGAACGTCAGGAAGCTCTTGCTCCACGGCCCATTAGAGGACTTGGAAGTGTTATGCTAAAGCTTGACAGTAAGGTATTTCTACTTACTTCCTTAAGCAACTTGAAAGTTTATTTTACTCTCTGTTCATCATATTCTGAGATGCTTTAATTCTAAAAGAAATGTCTGTCACTAATGGATATGTCTTTCGTGTAAAACTGTATCTGTTTTATGGTGTATTTTAAATTATGTCTCTCCTATCACTATTCACATTTAAGTGCACATTTAAATTTGTTAAATGGTTGCATGCAGACCTTTAGAGAAGTCACTTTTAAAATGTTGAATCACCTTTATAAGGTTCCTTATTTGAGTAAGACAAAATTCTCTTAATCCTACCTGCTTACAAAGATTTTGAATTTAAACCTAATGAGCTTTAGTCTAAGGGATAAGATGTTGCTACTTCTTATGTGAAAATTAATTAAAAAGCAGACCATTGTGGTCGGTAAGTAGGGCCCAAGTTAGTTCAGATATATTTGTCTCTACTGTGTGGAAGCAAAGTTGTTGCCCGCAGTAGTATGGTGGTACAGAAATGAGTCTTCCCTCTGTAAGTGAGGAAATATGTGGGATAAAGTATTTGGGAAATGCCATAGAATTAAGGCTTCTGTCTACCACTCTCTTCTTCCCCATGCAAAGTATGCCTTCATTTGCATTGCAAATTGCATAGTTGGAAAGCTCCAGAAAATTTATAGTTTCTTTCATTAAGAATTTTAAGTTTTCATGTAAACGGATAGATGGATTATTTTGTTTGTAATAGCTATGGCACGGTGTAAGAATGTGCTTTCTGTAACTATGTTGTTGAAGTATTCTCTACTCTGGAAAAAGCCTTTATTTTAGGACTTCCATAACTGAAGAACTGAGCCCTGTAATTACATTTGTCAGAGCATCTGTACCTTGACAGATTGGTCTTGCAGTTTATAGCTCTGAATTCCTACAGGAGAGGGAGGAGCTTAAGCCTGGATCTAATGGGTGAATGGATGACAAAAGGTCAACAAAAGTATTAAAATAGCTGTAGGAAAAACGTGATGATTTCACAGGTTTCATCGAGGAAGAATTTGAAAAAGGAAAAGCCTTTCAAAATACAGCTATAAACACAATAAAGTGGTTTTCCTAAGATAGTGAAAATTACTAACATGGGAATAAAAGCTTACATTATACAAAGCTTTTCATAAAAAGGTTTTGTTCTGTAAGTAAGAAACCACTCTAGACACAATGTTGAATGTATTGTTGTTTCATGCGTTGTCAAATTTGGTATCCTTGTATGGTATAACTGTATGATACAGTATCCTTCCTAATTCCAGCAAGTCTTTTTTTCCTTAAAGAAGGTAGGGCTTTAATGTGTAGCAGAACCTCTTGCTCTTCAGCTTAAATGTACTTAAGGTCAGTTTATTTACATGTTGTTTTTGTCTAAGCAGGAGAACAGTGTTGACCAACTTATTTCCCCATCTCCCTTCTCCCCTCCATTTTTTAGATGACTGCTGTATTCCTCCTGAGTGTGTGCTCTGTGTATTAAAGCAGTTCAGCTTTCCCAGACATTACAAGAAAGGCACTTGATAATCTGCATTATTCTGTTGTCCTCATTTGTGCCTATTCTAATTCTCTTTCAGCCAGCATTAATCATGGCTGGCTGTGATTATGTGTAGTCTTCCAATGCTTATCACACTAATACTTCCCCATATCTTTTAAGTTCTACTGGCTGTGCTTATTCTGTATATTGTAGGATGATGGATGCATGGTATCTCAGAATTTGGGAAGCAGTGCCACAGGCTATTGGCAGTTACATTTTTTGTAGGGACAGGGAAACAAAAGGAGTGAAAATTACAGCCTTGCAAGATGTTTTGTTTACCAAATGTTAGGGCTTCAGTAGGCACTATTGAAGACGAAATAAAAAATAGGCAAACACAAAATAGAAATTTGAGGAGTAAATATTACATCTTACCTTTTATTGGGTGTGTGTGAGAAACCAAGACTGAGGCGTCATTTCCTTTTCAACTAGAAGTTTAATTTTTAGTTTGGTTTTTTTTTTTTAGCTTATTTTCATGGGAGCTGGATCTGCTTAGGGTTTTTGTTTGGTTTGGTGTTTTGTTGGTTTGTTAAGTTGGTTGGAAACTGAATCTTAGCATCAGGATGTATTGAGACTCTTAGCTAAGTACAGCCGTCATTAGCAAGGTCTTTTTTACATAAATAGTTAGTGGTAGTACTTGGGCTGGCAAACATGGTATGCCAGTTAGGATATAGTTCCAGATTTGAGTGAAATGTAGCGAGAATGAGGAATATATCTTGGAGTGTCATGTCTTTTTCCCAAACAAATTTTTGGAGGCTAGTGTAGATAGTCTGGAAAATAACCCATTGTGAGAAATGGGTGAGTACTGCTCATGCATGCAAATCTGACCTTTACTGATTATATCTCTTTTTTAAACAAAACCATCAAGAAAAAAACTGCCTCTCTTCTTTCACAATTCTCATTTACCCCTGGTTCTCCTCGAAGTGCAGAGAAATTTGAAATGAAGAGAAACTCTGGTCATGAGAAGGGAAAGGGCATTGCATTTTATTGTTTCCATAACCAGTAGGTCAGTCTCTGTATGAATGTGTCTCCTTTAAATATGGACTATGAAAATAGGATGTTGTTACTGTATTCTTTACTACATGGCTATGCATTTGCCTCATAGAGAGTCAGCAGACAGCAGTTCGGATGTGAGAGACTTTCTGGAAGGGAGAGTAGGGAGGTTTCTCTTGTCAGCCGCCAAACCATCCTAAATTTAATAGATGGGGTATCATGTGTGTTCTTATCAACAGTAGAGAATTAATAGTTTTCTTTACTGATTTTTTTTATTTTATTTTAAAGAAGACTTGTCTTACAATATGATGACTGCAGTTTGATTATAGAATTTGTGAGGGAGTTTAGCAGTATTGGCAGTGGCTCAGCTGCATGCACTGGACTTCTACTCATTAGAATGTACTAATATTATACATGCATGCTTTCTGATGTACTCGAGTGAATCATGTAGTTGTTATATGCTTTTTTTTTTTGTAGAGTGCACTAGAATTTTATATATGGATTATTTAGATTGTTTGGATTTTGGATAAAGTCAACTTCTATTTCTTCTAGTACCAAGTTCAGCACATCGTTTAACCAAGCACAGAAAACAAGCAGAATCTCTGCCAGTATTTTTATTATAGCAAATACTTTCATAGACATGTAAGAACTTAGATGAATAGTTTTCCAATAAAATACTGGAAAAGTTGATATAGACTTATTAATTTTGGATGATTTGAAGATTAGAATTAAGCTGTAGCCTATTTTTAAATATAGGTTGATTACATTTGTAGAACCACTTAAACATCAATATTGTAAACTATTAGGCAGGTAGAGCGTCCCAGGTATTGTCTTAAATGTTGATAAAAAATATGGTTATTTTGGACATATAATGTTATTTCCTAGTTACTGTATTTATCATCCAGTTCCTGGAGGTTGAAATTGTAGAAAAATACCAAAGACTTCCTTTCACATTCTGCTAAAATCTTAGGTCTCTTTTTGTTGTATTTTGTATGGATTTGCAAAGTGGAGCAATACAGCCATGAGATCTATGTGTTTTCCAAAATGACCCTCAGGAACAGATAGTAGGTTTTAAAGTGCAGAACTAAAGTTAAAAGTATGTCATTTAATCAGAAAACAACTTTCTCTTTTTTCACAGATAAATTATTGCATAGGTGAAGAGGTAAAGTAGAAACAAATTCTACAGTGTCAGTTTCAGGCTTTTGAAGCCTTGTAGTTGATATCTCTGACTGTGACTCCTTCCATAAGTAGCAAATGCTAGTAGGCGTGGGTGCTTTGTGACATATTTTATTTCCATAGTTCCTAATGTTCATGTTTCTTTGTAAATCTGCTTCTAACTTAATCAACATTATGAGGTTTTTATAAACTTGAAATATTCATACCTTTTGTTTCCATTGGGAGCTAATGTAATTTCTGGCAACTGGCAAACATGTTTGATTTACTGAGAATGCAATCGTCTTGTTTTCAGGGAGAAACAAACTTCACTTATGTGATCTTAATCTCTAACAGAGATGAATAACAACATTAAAGCTCTTCTCTGTTTTGATTATGCTGCTAATGATTAGCAATGGTTAGAATTAGGAATATAGTCCTACATAAACTAGGTCCTGAAATGGGTATTCTTGAGCATGTGGATGAGCATCAGTAAAGAAAAATAACTTTAATGCAAAAGGAGAAATTGACTTTCGAAAAGTGCAAGGAGAATTACATGAAATCTGTAAATTTATATTATCTACATTTTTCTGCTGTATGTATACCAGACTTAATTATGTATTTGATGTTGTGTCATTGAATATGAATGCTTTAATATGAATGTTGTACCAAAAAAACCCATGTGAAATCTGTCCAAGAGTAATTGATTTAATAGGAATGTTTTGAAATGCATAGAATGGGAATATTTGAATGCCTGAATGGGAGTATTAATGCCATAAACGAGTACCTCATGTTAAGATTTGGTGTTTGGCTAAAATGTCCTTCTCAGTGTACAAGTCCTGCTCTGAAATGTGGTGGTAGCTCTCAGTATAATTAAACTGGAATTGTCCAGATTGTGCTGATAGCTCTGTTAATAACATTAAATCTGTTCATATTTGTTATATCCCTCTTTGTTTCAAAAGTGCATGTTAGTAGTAAAACCCAGGTTCTTGCATTAGAATTTATTACGATCTTTTCTTCCTATTGCAATTTACCTTTGTGTCTAGAACAATTTCATTTTCATTCTGTGGATGACTTTGCCTGCCTCTCATTGCTTTTTTTCCTTATTACTGCATTTTTCAATAATTTTCCACTGTGTTGTGTTTTTTTCCCTTTTCTTCCATCTCCGCCTGCCACTGACAAGCTGTGGCACTGGCTTAATAAGAAGGTAAATAAACAGAAAAATTATGATTCCAGTTAATGGATTCTGTGGTTTTTGGGGAGTTTGATTTTTTTTTAATATTTTTATTATTTTGCAGCATGAACACTCCTTAACATGCCTTGCTTCATATAGATTTCTCTCTCAAATGCCTCTTTTCCAGCTCTTGGTATAAGCTACTGAAGGTCATATAATTCTGTCTGTTCTCTTCTACTCCAGTGAATGCACATAGTTAAATGTTTTGCACAGCAGAGGATTGCATTAGCCTTTCAGGGGCTAGAGTGATTATGGGGCACTTCTGTTTAAGAACAGTTGATCCCCTCCTGGTCCCCACTTGTACACCAAACAAATCCAGTTCTCTCCCAGTCTGGAGAGCTGTTCTCTGCTCAGGGAAAGCATCAGTTAACCAAATTACCACGGGAGTGGTGAGGGTGTGAAGCACAGTTGTAAAGCTGTAAGTGCTTGCAAATAGTTCAGGGACTGGGTTCACTGAGTGCTGTCAGTCTTTTTTACTTTTGAAGTGCCAAACTTGCCTGTGTACACGGGCATAGTATGTAGTGTACGAGGACTGAATGCATACAAAATGAGACTTTGCATGGCCTCAGAACTGCTGAATCTTAACAAGACCCAAGGGAAGAAAAAGGCTAGTTAAAAAAAAATTGGTAGTTGGTATAGCTAAAATATTTTTTTTTCCTATTGTGTGGCTTTTAAAACTGTGTGATATGTTTTCATGATTGAGTTATCATTGTCCATGAAGAGGGAGGGGCATTTTAAATGTTCTTTTGCCCTTGACTGTATTTTTCCTGTTTTAAAATTACATTTTTATTTCCCAAATATGAAATGTTTATCTTATGTGAGTGACTTCTGGTTAGTAAATATGTGCAACCGTAACCTGTCATAATTTTTTTTTTTAATTATATACTGGTTTGTTAGCAAAGTTCAGGTAAAGAGCTGAGTTTGGTGACCCACAAGAGAAAGTGTAGTCTTAACTGCATTTTTCAGTCATTTGCCATTTTAGTTGAAAATTCATATGAGTAGATATGGGCTTTTTTCCTTAATGTTTGTAGGTTGCAAAACCAACTTACCTGTAATAGCTTTAAATGCTAAAATGTCTGGATTTTATTTTTAGTTTAGAAATTTGCATTATTTGGCAAAACCTTGTGGATATAATTTCTTAAGAGTATGTTTTTTTAGTTCCTTGGAGTTATCTTTGAAAACTGTTGGTTTACTTTACAGTTTCATAAGTAGAAATCCTGAAAATCCTATAGTATTACATACAGTGTTGACTTCTGTGCATGAACATACAGTAATAAAATTATAATCAAGATTTTTAAAAAAGTGAAAAAATGTGCAACCAGTGGATTCATTTTGTTGTGTGTAGTGTCTTGGTGATTTTTTTTTTAAATTATTAAAAAAATTACCACCAGAGGTAGAAAAAGGAGGGGATTTGTACTACAGAACACTGGCTGCTGGTAAAAGGTGATTCCTTTTGTGCCTTTCTCAATTTTTTCTTGTGGTTGAAGGGACATACTTCAGAGACCACAGACATAAATTTCTGATGATCCAGCAGGAAATTTAAAATCAGATGGATATAGCAGAGTTTGAAATGATGCTTGGTTATAACTGGTAGTGATAAACCTTGGCTTTTTGATTCCTGTTGATGGTATATATAGCCCAAAATATAGAATAGATTCAGTCAGTCTGGCATAATTTGTTCTTAATAACATTGTCTATGTCAGGAGTCTTTAGAAGGAATTGCTAAATTCTTCTGCTGCTTTTGGAGGGATACTGGTGTAGGTAGACTTGAGACCTCACACAGACTGTTCTCTACATTTTCTAGCTTAACTACTCAGCTGACTCATCTCACCATAACCTTGGGATGTGTTCTGGTTACAGACTTCCCCTTATTCTCTGCAGATGATATTAATGAGATGGTATCTTCAAATATTAACTAAGTAAAGGGAAATGAGACGTCTAAGGAATGTCTTGGGGAAAAAATCCTCATAAATAGCAGAGCTGTTTACAGGCAAAAAAAAGTCCATGTTGATAGTTTTATATAGTTTTAATCAAAAATGAAGTAGATGCCTAGGTGTGCTTCACTGTTTGAGTAATGTAGTAAATTAAACATACTAGAAAAACTACTGCTCTGAAAGCTATGCAGTATGAAAACTGCAAATATTAATTCATGGATGATGTATCATACTGCATAACACGGAGAACCTGTCTAGATAGTATGATTTCAGATTTTTAAGTATCGACTATAGTTCTATTACAGCTTAGTATAATATGGTTTGTGTCATCATCCAAAAGTTGAAAGAGGGAGTACTTGCAAATTTCTAATAGAATGTAACTCAAGGATAAAAAACTTTTTTACAGTGAGCTAAATTAAAATAAAAACCTTAATAACTTTTCCTTTTAAAACTATGACAGCCTATCACAAATCAGTAATCTTTCAGTTTGGTTTCACAAGTTGACCTTCTGTAGCTTAGGAGCCTGGCTTTCCTTTACCTTTGCATAATCTCAGGTGCTGTTGCAGCCTCAGCTTTCCACTGGTAACTAACTTTTGGATTAGAAGCTTGGAACCATATATAAAATTTCATGACCTCTGGCTAATGAGTGTGTTTAGCCAGTACATGTTTGTCTCTGTCTGCATGCCCATGGTTTACAGGAAGAGTGTAAAGGGAGGTCTGACAGGGTTGGGGGAAGAGTGAAGTCTGGACCTGATTTGGTGATAAGTGCAACCACACAGGCATTTAACAGTGCAGCTTATCTGCACCTATGCATTTTTTAACATGAGTGTGAAAAGGTAAGAGATTCCTAAGGAAGTGTTGTGGGTTAATGTAGGGGGGAAAAGTGTGTTGTAATAGAAGGGAAAAAAAGAATAAATGTAGCCTTAAGTGAAAGTTGTCCATCTGCTTTTACTTGTACAATACTCAGTCCAATTCAATTTTCTGCTGTGATGTATCTGTACCACTTACATAACTTGGATCCCCTTAGGTCTGTGTTGAGAGAAGTGATTGCAGTACCTGTAGGCTTGCCAAAGCTGGTTTTCATCAGGCTTCCTTGGGCTACCTGCCTGAGTAAATAGAGACAAAGTGGGCTTGCATGGCCGAGGCTGCTGCTGGTACCAGTACATCATCAGTGCTGCTATGACTTTACTAACTAGATTAAAGGTAATCCAGGGTTTACCTGTGCTGCAGCTGCACCTTAATAGCAGTCCAGGCATACTTGAACTATCACTATGAGTGTCCAGGAAAGGCACCTTGTGCCATCTCAGAGAGAGTCCTCATCCTGGTCTTTTGGAACTTGACCTTCCAGTAGTTGCTACATGGCAAAACATCTAAAGCATTCAGCCTCACCTCCACTGAGATTTCACCTATTGAATACCCCTCACACAATCATTGAGCCTAGCATTTGTTGAAATTTCTGACAGTACTTCCAATGACATGGATTCAGTGAATCTGATTAAGGTGCTATATGTAAGACTACTGGGTTTCTTTTAAACTCTGACGTAGAAAGTAAACAGTAGTTTTGAACTTTGTCTGAAATGACGAGGGTAGCTTTAATTTTTAATAGCTTCATTTTGAAGTCTGCTGTAAAATTTTCTTCCCCTGCCTATTCAGTGGTGTTTTCTTGGTGATATTTGTTATTTCTGTCCTTTGAAACAAGGACTTTCATTTCTTGCTTCTCTTGCATACTCACTAGTTGTACATGAGGCTTGGAAGGACACAACAAATCTCATTTCAGTCTTATTTCCAAAGAAGTAACCCCTATATATGTGCCCTATGTATGCGCTGCTCAAAGTTTTTCAGAGAGCTTCAGTACTACTGCAAGCAGGTCACTTCCCTCCAGCACTGGCAATGCCTTTCTGATGGCTGAAATATGTTAGCAATGTTGAAAACCAAACTTAGGTTAAAAATACCTAAGACAAAAGATTTTTTCATACTCCCTCTTGTTTTCTAAGTTCCTTTCTGCAGGTCTTAATGTTGTACAATATTTGTTACAAGAACTTGTGTTAATTTAGATCAAACAAGGAGCTGGGTGTGAGAACTTGATGTTTAAAAATAGTTACTTGATGTACATAAACTGCTCAGTTACAGTTTGTACATTTAAAACAACAAAACACAAAAAATCCTTACTTTTGTCAAACAGGAGATCTGACTTCAGTGTTGACCAATTTAATCATCACACAGCAGTCTGAGAAGTTAATTGTTTCAGAATCAATTTCATGTGTAGGGATAGGGTAAATAATGAAGAAAGAACTAATGTAAACCATTAGCATGCATATTTGTAGTTTTATAAGATCTCTAACTAAAAAGTTACCAACTTAATCATTGAATTTATAACTTGGACTCAAAAGTACTTTCACTTACTACACATTGGCTTTGACCTCAGTTCTCGTGAATCACAAATTTTACAATTGTGCTATTGCTTTTTCCTATAGTAATGCTAATTGGAATAGAATTAGACCTGGTATTTGAACCAGAGGAGTTAAGAAAATGTATTTGGTCATGCTTGCATGTGCTTTCACAGCTTTTTATGTAAACAGACAATTTGTGTATGAGATGAAGCTCAGCTTGCTGTGTTCCAGAGCGCTCTGCAAAGTCGTGTGACTGAGCAGTTTCATTGTTTTGAATGACATTATTAGAATTTCTCTACTCAAATGTGGTATCACCATTTGATTGTGGACATATATAGAATGGGCCTTTTTTTAAACTGACAGAACAACAAATGTGCCTGTTTCCTCTGTCAGTCAGTTTAGCTGATGCTGAGCATCCCCCTGAGACTGGAAGTGGATAGAAATATTTAGTGATGAATTGGCCTGATATTCAATAATGTAGAACCCCACCTGTCCCATTTCAGTTCAGAAGGTGATGAGGCAGCTTTAAAAATTCTATTACTTGCAAAAATGCCTCATTGGTCATTTAGATGGCTCTTAGCTATTCAAATCTGAAAGTTATGGTTGTGCTTTGAAGTCCTGTGCAGACAGTATCTGTAAGTTTCCAGGTTGCTGAAGGACAAAAAACAAAGACAAATTTCTGGGTTCTAGTTGACATGAATGTCTTTAGGTACTTCTCTAGGTCTAGTAAGTAATTGTTGATTTATTGCTTGCTTTGCAGAGAGCTTGCTCTGTTGTGTGGTAATGTGTACATGTTTTTTGCAAAATCACATGTCATACCATGACCTTAATCATGCTAACATTGCTTGTTAATTGTTCATTTCCAAGCTTGGACATAAATGCTGTTTGATTAGAGCCTGATTTGTACTGTGATTGTAAATAAAAATAACAATACTGTTGCATAACATACAGCATAGCTTTCATTAAAGATTGATTTATGTGCTATAATTTGTTCTTTTTTTTTCTGCGCAGATTATTGTGTGGTTGGAGAAAATGCTAGATAAAATAATCAGCATTTTCATAATATTTTTGCTGGTGATAGGAACCCTTCTGCTAGCTCTTCTCCTTACTGCAAAGGTACAGTGTGCTAATGAATATAATCATAAAGCTCATTTTCGTTGCTGATGAAGGTTACTGATACTTATTTGAGATTGTATCACTTAAAGAATTTTTCTAAATGTTTAGGAACTAATTGCTCTGTAGTTGAACTTTTCCCCATTCCAAGACTATAAAATATACAAAAAGATATCAAAATCTCAATGTTTCTATTTCTTTGCATTTCTGTGGTTTTTACCCATGTGACAAGGCTCATATATAGACATTTGTAAATACAGAATTCATTCTAGTAGAAGAATTACTAGCTTATATATTACAGGAACAAATTTATTTCACATCATGTTGGCTTTCCTTGTCAACAGAAGAACCACTTAGATTTTTTTTCTCTTTAATTTACCTCACATCGGAAACATATGCAAAATAATTAACATGTGTTTGTCAATGTGTGTATGTAATTGCCTGTAACAACCTCATGGTATCTTTTTCTGAGTTAAATGTACTGAGATTCGTGATCAGGTATACTCTGAAATTGATGTTTGGTTTACGGTTGAGTTTAGGTGGGGTTTTTTTTTTGCTCACCAGAAGAGGTCACTCATGTACTTTTTTTTCCTTTTTCCTTAATGGAGCTGTGTTCATACTTGAAACAGTCAATGGAGATTGAATGTTTGACTTGAAAACAGTTACAGAACAATCTCCTTTTTCCAAAATATAGGCATATGTAATGTTGAATACTTAAAGTTGAAGACTTTTGAAGTTGTGCAAACATTCCTACCTAAAGCTCCCTTACATTCATAGAAGGAGTATTAAGATATTTGTTAAAGGTGTATTTTATCATTATTTCTGAAGAATTTGTTTGGTTAGGCACTTCATAGCAGGGTTGGTCATGTTAGAGCTAAGCATTCATTAATTTTTACACTTCTTATATCCATGGCTTAAAAAGCTGTATCTGAAACTTTACTTTGTATTTTAGTGCTTCTCTTGACAGCACTGATGTTATTGGTGAATTTTTTTCCACTGACGGGATAAGGTTTAAATTTCCATTTGCTATTACTAGTGACCAGAATTTATTATTGTATTGACTAGGTGTTTCTTGGGTTAATGTAACGTCTTTCTTCATAGTGGATTGTTTGCACTGGACAAATTATTTTTCAAACGTGCAAACTGGTCACTGCATCCCTTGTCACCTTCCCCCTGCCTCCCCAGCCTCTTCCTTCCAATACCACTCCCCCTCCCCCCAAAAAATAATTCTTTCTGAATGTAGGAAGAGTTGTAGTTTGCATTACATAACATTTCTTTCTCCTCTCTCTCTTTAATTTAGGTACATCAAGAGAGTGTTCACATGATTCAAGTCACAAGCAGCTTGATCAATGAGACAGTAGCCAGTCACCCAGAATGGGCAAAGTAAGAATGCTTAAGTTAAGCGAATAGTATAGGGTGGATGAACAAGCTTCCAGGTGCTCTTACGCATAGTTCCTAATTTAAAAAAAATCCCCTAGGTGAACAGAAATGTTCCTGTTCTCACAGGCAGATGTAAAAGCTCAACTATCAGACAGCAGAGATGTGTATACATCACTCCCAAGGACTGTCAGTGTGGTTTCTCATTTGAGGACTGGTTGGGTTTTGGTGGTGAAGGATGACTCTATGAAATTTCTAGCTAGAGTCGTGGAGAAGAAACTTGTATAGTGCAGAGAATGAAGAGATCTGTATTTTGTCCCTTTTTCCTATGAAAGAGAAGTGCTGGCAAAGAATGCTCTAGAAAGTTTCAAGATGGAGTTGAATTATTTTTTAAATGTCAAGAGATGGATGTGGAGTGCATTTGAAGGAATAGGAGTTGGAGACGTTGTTCCTGGTGTGGACTGATGAAGAGTTCAAGGGTGGGTGGGGGGAGTTCGGTGTGAATCAGTTGGGCAGGGAGATCCCTGTTAAGAGTAGATGTGTGTAATGTGCAGTGGGGAGTTTGTAGGGTTTGGTCTGTGTAATGACTAAAGTAAGCACCAAGACAAGTATTAAGGGAGAGAGACGTTGTTGAGAGAAATGCATCTAGAGGAAAATATGGGCATGCTGGTAAGCAAAGGAGTCATTGCATGAGCATCAAAGGGGGAATAGGTGAGACTGAAAAATGTGATTTTAAGGGGAGCATGTTGCAGGTGGCTTTCATTCTGATTTAGCTAAACAGATATTGGGCAAATGTGAGATACCAGTTTAATGACAGCAAAAAAAAAAGATCTCTCCAGAATAAGAATGGTTGACTCTTTCTAGGGCACATTCTAAATAAAAGTGATGGTAGTTTAAGAAGATTGAAAGAAAGCAGATGCTGTATTATAAGAGCAAAGCAATTTTTCAAAAAGAGAACTAACAGGATATAGTTAATAACTACTGTAGTTATACATACTTTAGCATTACTAAAGCAATCACAATCATGAGAACAGAAAGCACTTAAGCACTTGGTTTTATTCCTTCATGGCATCTCTTATGTTGTTTGGCCTTTCTGTTTTGCTGTTAGATGGAAATAAGTGGGACTAATGGAGTTGGAAATTTGACTATAAAAAGCTTATTTACGTAATGAAACTGGAGTACTAGTTAAATAATTTTCAGAATTCTAGTATAACTTCTTACTTAAAAGTGTTTGCATTCAAATTTGAAGTATCCATAACAGTATATTTTAGTTCATTAAGAGTAAGAATACCTGTTGCCATATCCATGAAGCATTACCAGCTTTCAGAGCTCAATGCTTGTATTATATTTAGAGGTGAGTGATTGAAATATCTTGGAATTCCAATCTGGAACATTTCTGAAGCATTAGAGAGATGAGCTTCCATGTTGATCTCCAGTCAGGTGAACAAATACAGCAGTACTGTTTCCTGAATGCTTTCATTTTGTTTTGGAAGGGCTCCAACAAGTGCTATTGAATCAAGATGGAAAAAGAAAGTCAAAGCAGAGATTGTGTGCCCTGTATTCACAAGTGGTAAAATGCTGACAGCTCAGTAGGGTACATTGCTTGAAAGTGGTGTGAGTCCCTTAAGGAATTCACAAGCAGGTGGTTTGATGAGGACTTAGAAGTAACTGATGTTCAAACCTTTTGTCAGCTGGTTGCTTTTTTATGGGAACTATGTTAACAATTTACATTCAGCTTGTAATTTCAAAAGGTTGTGTTTACAGCTAGATGAGACTGTTTCATACGATATTTTCAGGAAACTCTGGGAAAAAAATATTGTATGAACAGCACACATAGAGACTGAAGAGCAGATATCTTCTGAAAAAGTTAAGATGTCAAATTAATTAAGGTTTCAGAAACCCTGGAGGATTTTAAATGCAATGACCTTAGATTTAATTCTTCTTTGCTTATGGGAAAATCTATTCCTTAATATGTAGAAGGAAGCATTTGAGTTGTAGTAAGTTTATATGTATTTAACCATAATGATTTGTTGTTTCAGAACGGTAATTTGTAATGTGTTTTGGGTGTAATGAAGTGGGTATAATATATACAGTTAACTTTGTTTTCCCTCTTTAAAATCCAACCCTCAGCTGGCTCCCAGAAGCCCAGGTCATTCAGAAGGCACTTAATTCTGCAGCGAACAATGTATACCAGTATGGCCGAGAATGGATCACACACAAGGCAAGAGCTGTCAAAAAGTTCAAATTCTTTGGTTTTTGTTCTCATTTATTTTATTTCATAAAAGTAAAAAGAAACAAAAATACATTTGTCAGGAGTTCTTTTCCGTGTATTTAACCATTTTGTTGACAAATCTATTCTTTCCACTCTGGTATGGGACACTGGCAGGAAGAGTGGGAGTGATTTCGGTAGTCTTTTCTATTCTGGTGATAGTTTCTTTTTAAGAATTGAAGAATCTGTCATCATTCCAATGATTCCCAGTGAAAATGCATCAAATAAAATTGAGTAATTTTTTTAAACTGACTTTGGCTGTCATATTATAGACAATGTAAACTTCTGTTGCGACCACTGCCCCTCCCTCTTGCCTAATTTTTGTGTGGGCTGAGTGTGATACGTCGGCATTTTTTAAATCATAATTTGTATTGTTAAGCTATATTCTTATTCAGAAGAATTCGCCAAGATTCTTACTCATATATTTGATATGTAGCACACATCTTAAATTATTTGAAATATTTACTCTAAAGATATGATCAAGGATTTTGGATTAAGAATTTTAGAGACAGCATTTTTTTTTCAGTGCAGAAAGAAATCCTTAGTGCAGCAGAATGTTTTTTAACAAAGTCTTTGAATTGTGAACCCTTTTGTCTGAAGTGTGTATTTCATACTGATACTAATTTTTCTAATAACTTGAGTTTGAAATGTGCCTTTACAGACAATCGTACATTATTCATCAAACATGAAGTTCATCAGTGGATGCCTGCTTTGTTCTATCTTGTATAATAAAAGATTTTTATGTGTTTTAGCTCCATAAGATTTTAGGAGAAAAAGTAAATAACACTGCTGTGATTGAGAAACAAGTGCTGGAGCTCTGGGACAGGCTTTATCACTCTTGGTTTGTGAAGGTGCGTAACTTATTTAAATGGTATTAATGTAAAGTGTTGTTTAGTACTCTGACATAATTATGCTAAATATGCATTTCTGAGGGAGAGATAAGCAGACAGTTAAAAGGTTGAGTAAAGCTAGGTAAAATTTTCAAGTGTGTAAGACACATCATTCTAGCGTCACAGTTTTAGTATAGCCAGAGCTGTGTCCTACACTTAAGTAGTTAAGTTTGTTTTTGTGCCATTTTAGAGTTTTCTCACTTTTTGTAATTAGTATTTTGTAGTTTAGCACTTTCTGCTGAATATTCCAGTTGTTAAGGTCTTGGGAAAAGGCAATTGGTCTTCTACATAATTTGTGTAATTTTTATTAATTTGAAAATATGAGAAAGTAATTGTCCTCTCATTAAGTTTCTTACAATGCATTTTTACAGCCATGTTATAATGGGTTCTGTACACTGAATCCTGAGAAGTTCTTAAGAGTTAAATTGTTGTTATGCTCCCAATGCTGTTTGCAGTGTAAAGGAAAGGGCAATTCATTAGCCATTGTGCAATGGAAATATCGAATCCAGAAGTCATATTCCTGAAATCCTTCTGTATATTTAAATGACTGTAGTTATATTAACACTTTTCTTTATGCAGTTATTCTCCAAATACCTCTAAAGTTTGAAGAAGATCTCTCCATTAAAGCAATAACAGTTCTGGTATAGAACTAGATGAACAGGTGATAGGTCTCCATACAGTTTACAAATACAGGAGGCTTATTTGAGGGAGATTTTTGATTACTCGTATGTTTCTACTCTAAATACATTGCTAGCTCAGAAGAAAGATCTCTGTGTTGGCAGTGGATTGTTATAGAAGGTTGCTAATAGTACATCACAAAGTGTAACAGTGCATCTAGAGAGAATTGGTAATGAGCAAAAAATGTAATGCTCTTAGATAAATCGGTGTAGGGACTGCACTTGGAATGTTATTTGTTATGTGTGGCAAAAAAAGATACTTCCATTTTGAATGCAGGCTGCTAAGGCTAAAAGTATGCAGAAAATTTTAACAAGTAGTGGAATGTTTATTATGAAAATCAGAGTTAAGCACTTGAGAAGTCTCCTTCTATTAAAGACTGGGATGTTTTAGTTGACGGGTTTGCTTAAGTTTGCTTACAGAGAATTTTGACATCCTTCTCTGAAACACTTGTCACAGTCCCAGCCTGTGGCATTTAAGATGGTAATCAGATATTATTCACTGGCAATAGGCAACTTCATAATTTGGGAGGAGCCACTTAAGGACTTAGCTGTTGTTTTTTATGGCCATGTCCTGTTGTCTTGTTGTGTTGCAGTTACAAAATTGTGTAGTCAGAATCCAGACCTTGCATCCAGTTTAGCTTTTAGGTTTTGTGTGGTTGAACATTTACTGTGAAGAGGTAGAAACTGACCGTGAGAAAACTAGTTGTTTGGACTTCTGCTTGCATTTTTCTTTATGGGCTGTGCTGGGAAAACTTGTATGTTGCAAACAGTAATTTAGGTAGGCAATAAATGGAATCATTACCTCTTTCTTGTGTACTTTCATTAAGGGCAAAATAGATACCATTGTATCAGTCAAGCAGTAAGGTTAACTTTTAACTGAGGTGAATCAAAATAATATACACATGTGTAATTAAATGGAATAATTAACTACAGTTTTCTGTCAGATTTTAATTTTTCCAGCGTAGAGAGTACTTTAGGTAATTTTTGGGATGCCAGTTAAAGCAGCTCTATTTAGTTGCATGTTGGATCTACTCTTCATTAAGAAAACACCAGTCTAAAGCATTAGCTTTTGTCTTTCTCATATCTCTACATTTTATTAGAATGTCTATTTTCTTTGTTTTTAAGAATGTAACACATTCTGGAAGACACAAAGGACACAAGTGGCACATAAACCGTCAAAACAGCTGGCTTGGAGATATTCTGGACTGGCAAGATGTTGCATCGTTTGTTCACGATAACATCGAAACATTTCTCTCGGTATGTATTCTTTGCACTTACTATGAAATGGGTCTAATTTTTAACTGATAGCAATTTCTCCTTGGAGTACTACTAAGGTTATGGATTCAAGTAAATGGAAAATTATGGAAACACTGTTAGTGTTATTTACAATTACTGAAGCAATTGTTGCAAGCCTATTTAAGAGATAACTGTAAAACAAACAGAAACATTTATGATAAAGGAGCTCTTGTGGTTTCAGCATATTCATGGATCTCAGCTTCCCAGATGTCTTCCAGAGGCATATTGTTATCTGTGTCACCTGCAAGCTGATTTTCAGTGCATTATTTTATTTAGTCTTTTCTCTTTAAAGAAGAAAACAATTGGTTTAGGTTATACCTGAAGAAGCTATTGACTAAGAGGTTGTGAAAACAAAACCAAGCAATAAAAGTGGGGGGCTGATCTTTGTTGTTTTGTTTGTTTGTTTGTTTGTTTTTGCCTCAAATTACTATTGTTTGTTGGATTGAAAGCAGCTTATTTTTCTCTTCTATTATGGAAGTTCTGTGGAGAATGAAATTAATATTTTACACAGTGTGAATTCCTGAATAAAAACAATTCACATTATGAGGAGAAAAAGAGGAAGTATTGAAAGCAATCCAAATTGAAGTGTTTCACTAAAAAAATAATTTTAAATCCTACATGCCTAATACATAGAGTCAATCCCCAATATAGTTCATCTTTGACTTGAGCTGTTGTCATTACATTTTCTTAAATTTTGGACGACTATTATTTATACCTAACTGCCACTATAGCAGATTTGTGGATGCAGTTAAAGCTAATGTTTGCCTCCAAGCAGTTCTTGGCCTAGACTGATAGGCATTTGTGCTTTTCCTGTCCTCCCCCAATTGCTGCTTAAATTGTTACAGCTTCTACCATAGGAGAAGATGTGAGACAAGAAAGAGTTGTGAGAAACTTTATTGCAGTAAACCTTTTTTCAGTTAATTATGAAATTTGCGTGATACTTTCTCAAAGTTGGCCATGCATGCTTGAGGCAAAGGGTTTAAAAATGCACAGCACATCCTGATTTAAAATCAATGTGAAGTTCCCTTCTAGGCAAGAGGCACAGAAGGAGGAGAAACTACCTGATAAGAGTGTGTCATTTGCAGAAATGCTGCACAGTGCTCAGAAACCATGATGTAAAGTGTGCTTCAGTAATCTAAGCAAGCTAGAGAGAGGCAAAGAAAAGTGTAAAGACAATAAATATTTAAGAATGAAAAATATTAATATTAAAATTTTCATCTAGCTAACATGCTTGCTTTATTTCTAAAAACTAGTTTAAAAGTACAAGAAAAAAGTGCCAGCAATTGACTTGCTTTCCTGTTTATTTCCAGGAACTCATTACTCATCAGCTCTGGGGAAACACCTGTCTTTTTTCTCCATATACTCATGTCCTTAATAGCAGACTGTAAAACAGTCAGCTTAGTATAAAGCTCTAAATCCTGATTTCACATTCTTACTGGGCAGCATTTTCTTTCCTGACTTGCTTATCTACATTGCATTAATATTACTCATGCTAATGTTTTTAATTAAAATTGATGAAAATACAGTCTCTGTTCTTGTTTAGGTCATTAAAACTTGGAGATTATTAAAATAAGAATAGCTTTTGCTTAAGTCTGGTATGTTTAATCAAGTTTCTTACCTAGCCTAAGATACAAAGCAGCCCTACTGTATTCAGGGTTTATGTTATTACCAGAGCATGAAAACTTTTGTCCTGGTATTTTGAAGTGGAACAATGGGTTATAATTGGGAAGGGCTAATAGATGAAATTTTGTGAGTGTTTTTGGAAGTGTATGTTCTGGGGATTTAATTTTTCTATTGCTTAGATTCTTTAGTTTGGGCTTCTTGTTTGTTTGCTTTTTTCATATTTTATAGGGCTTTGGGTGGGATTTAGACAAGATTAGATGGGTCTTTGAGCAACCTGGTCTAAGCAAAGGTGACCCTACCTATGGCAGGGGGATTGGGACCAGATGATTTTTAAGGTCCCTTCCAACCCAAACTGTTCTTTTTATTTTTTCGTTGAATGTATTGTTTGTGGGGAGAGTGAAGGTGAACACTTGAAATCAATTCTGGCTTACATTTCTTAAGAATATAGCAAGACACAGGACAGTCCCAAAGCTGTGTTGAAAAGTTTTTTTTAACATACAGATAAAGACAATGAGATAGCTGTAAAGAAGTGGATACACAGCTCTAATGAGATTTCCTCCACTTTTGGAAAAGAATAAATGTGTATGATTACACTACTTGTATGTAACAAATATTTATGCATAGACTGAGTTTACCAAAAAATAACTGTCTTGCTAGCCCCTTGGCTTTCTGACGTATTTCAGAACAGAACAGATGACAGTTTTCTTTGAAAAACGATTTGACAATGTTATTATTTGACAGCTATTTGACAATGTCATATTACAGGCACAAGAAGATAAGCTTTTCTCCATTGATGGAAGTCAAAGGAAGTGTTCTTCCTCCTTAATAGAAGAAGGAATGTTTACTATAAGAAAAATGTTAAGACAGATGCTAGTCTTTCACTTCAGGCTTTTCCCTTAATGGAAGAAATTTTCATTTTAGAGTTGAAAGCATGTAATTAAATTACTGATGTAGGTGTGCTGGGGAATTGCTGGTGTTCATTTAATTTGTAAAAACATGCATCAATTCAACTTTGCAACTTTGAGTATCAGGTAAAGCTTGGAAGGCTTCCATACTCCCCTCAAAATGTGCTGTTCATTATAGCAGTTATGCTTAGCTGTAGTTTGATGTAGACAGACCTTAATTATTTTAAAGTAACTTACTATATAAACATGAAAATTGCTTAAGATTTAATATGAAGATAAGCTTTTCCAAGTCATCAGTTTGCTTTTTTTTTTCCTAAAAGCTTTGGTGTTAGCAGCACTGCTGCCTTTTTCTAGTTTTAGAAGCAGTAATGTTAAAATCCAGCATAATATAATCATCAGTGGTGTGTTTCTGAAGTGGGATTTATTTAATCTGCTACTTGGCAGAGAGAGCAAGAGTGGAGCCTCACTTTATACTTTTCATTTTGCACCCCATACTCCACTCCAAGATAGTTTGTCAGATGGATGAAATAGGTAACACATAGCTGGACTATTAAGATTTAATTTCTGAAAAATAATAAAGACTCATTCTTTCCTCACTCATTTGCTTTTCCATTCATAACCCTTTTCCTCCATTTTTCATATGCTTGTAGCATTGAGAAAGTGAATTGCTGCTGGCTAAATCTGTGAATGATGACTCAGAGCTCCCTTGATGTTACATGAGACATTGTTAATGTCTTCTTAATTTGATCTTTTGGCTCCTTGCATGAGAATACTCATCATTCCACCACCAGGTGGTATCTCATTCAGAGATCTCCTAGACAGGAAGATGGAAGACCTTCCACAGAGATACACACAGCAAGCTTCAGCTTCATTAGGTTTCCCTTTCCATGCTTTTAGCATGACTGATCTGTGCATTTTAAATCAAGTCAGCTTCTCAAATATTTCACTGAGTTACTACACATCCTAATATTTTTCTCTGGCTCAAGTAATCTTATAAGTTTATAGTTAATACAGTCAATTTTTTAGTAATATATCAACTAGCATGTTGAGTTGGTTTTTTTGCATCTTTATATCCAGTTATATTCCCCTTATACAGAATTGAGTTAGGTACATAGTTTTATCTGGCTTCTAGAAGTTTGCTAACTTGAAGTTTGCAGCAAATTACTATTTTGGTCAGGTGCCTTTTAACCCTAATTTTCAGGTGTTGACCAGTTTAAAAGTGGCCAAGAGGACACCCTAGATGCCTGAGAACATTGTGTGCAATTTTTCTTTCTTGCCTGTTACAGGTTGGAAAGGCACAGTTACTGATTCTGAAGGTGGCGCAGTGTGATGTGTGAGAGAGTTGTGAATTCTGTACAGCTTTGTAGCTTTCCTAAACACTGATCCCTTGCGACTGCTCACGAAGCAGTGGTTTGGGGAAAGAGTTGTGGTTTTCTGTTTTTTAATAGGAAAAAAGTAACTAAAAGTAATGTAACATTGTTGCATAAAGATTCACACTTCGTTGAGTTTTGGGGAACTCAGCTGGAAAGGTGTTCGCAATTCTTTATGTGTGGTAGGTGACCTCATCAACTCGGCTGCAGTAGGCTCTGGGAATCAAGCAGCATTATGAGCTCCTAGGTGCAGCTGCATGTAATGTGATTTTGTGAGTGGTAGGGAAGTATTTGAGAACGTTCTGACGCTGTATTCAGTAATGATTAGTGTCTGCTATGTCTGTCTTCTCACCTTAGCTATGAAAAGCTTATATCTTGAAATTTTAATGATACATATGCGTAACAAGGAATTACTCTGTAGCTGGAGACAAGTGTTAAAAGATGCAGTTGCTTTCATAAGACATACCAAAACTGTAGAAAGGTACTATCTACACTTACTCTAAAGCAGATGCTGGTGGTAACTGGTTCAACAGTTCAAATCAATGACTCCACCAAACAAGGATGTTCACGTAGGAGAACCATTCCTGATGTTAATGGAACAACCTGATACCTACATTCAAACTGCTGCCTGTGGTTGTATACTTTTGGTTATCAGCCCTCAGGCTTAAGCTTCTAGGGAAAAGTGTTCAATAAATCTTGCCTATACTGGAGAAACATCCTATTTTGAAAACTTTCACAGTCCTACCAATTTTGTGCTCTCCTCTGGCAGATGAACAAGCTCCTCTCCTTGTAAACTCACTGGTACCAGCTCAGCTTATGTGTTGCAAGTGAAAGTTTTAACAATTGCTGTGATTACTAGTTAGAAGGCTGCTAAATCAGAGTAGTTTTACTCTTTAGAGCAAAACTTTACTAGACCAGTTTTCATTAACAGCATGGTTCATGCTCGTAGTTTGCTTTGCAGTCTCCTAGTCATTATAATTATGTATTGAAAGTGGTCAGTCCTTAACAATCATGTCCTACACGAGCTGTGGGGCTAAAAAACCATCATGATGGTGCTGTGTAGTTGGCCCCAGCAGAGGCTGTGCTTAATGGTCTTGAGTCACAGGAGTGTAAATGGCTGAAGAGCTTTTAAGTACACAAAGCTGGAACTTAATGGACATTGTCTTCCCTCAGATTAAGGAGCTTCTGCTTTCATAAGGTGTTCTTATTCTGGACAGCTCCCACTCCTGGACTGCGTGCTGTGATACTTGGGAAAAGTATTACTTTTCCAGGTCATGGCAGGTGCCTTGTTCTGTTGTTAGCCTGTTGTGTTTTCCCCCCCTTTCTTAGTTCCTACATAATTTTCTTGAAGAAAAAATTAATATTCTAGCTCATAAAGTTGTGCATCTTCAATGCCTTCTTACTCAAAACACTGCTCATGTTTCAGGGGCTTTAGTTTTCAATCTGTGTCCCTATTTGCAAGACCTTTGCTGCTGTTTTGTGATTAAACTCCACATTATAACTACACATTCTGTGGCACAGAAGCTCCTGTTCACACACTAAGTTCTAGTAACAAGCTTAAATATCTGGGAGGGGAACCTCCATACAACTTAAGGCCTGCTATTAGCAACCATAGCACAATCCTTCTTGAATACCAACTGGAAGGCCTCTGTTTTAGCTACAAACCGTTCCCTCAGAATTCACTGTCCTCTGTGTCTACAGTCCTCGTAATAAAATGTGCACATGGTGCACATTACCTAGGGGCTGTATGAATTTGTACCACTGTTGCACCCGCAGAATGAATTTGTAGTCCTAGAAGAAGCAAAGGAACAGGTACCAGTGGGAGAACGTTTTTCAGGAGTGTCCTCTTCACTTCTAACCTCCCTTGAATTCTCAAGAGGCACTAATAAAATCTGTACAAAAGATGAGCTTTAGCATTCATAATTCCCATTAAATAGTAGGAAGCATGAACTAAGTAGGTCTTTCTGTGTTGTAATTCCCTGTAATTTCCCCCAGCACTTACTCCCTCTCAAGTTCATGCTTAATAAATTATGTTTAATATGATTCACTCACTTCTAAAGGAGAGGTGATCACATGGCTTACACTCCTTTGTCTGCTCTACTGAGGAAGGGTTTTTTGGTTTTAAGGGGTTTTGGTTGGTTGGTTTTGTTTTAATTCATTCTAATTGCTATTTGTTAAACCAAAACTAATAGTTGCTAGTTTTTAATAATTACATGATTAACTGATGGAGCCTTACTCAAGATTACAACTTCTGCATTTCTCTGCAAATATTACCAAAAACGTGTATTTCATTGCGGTTAAACATTTTAACAACAAATTTATTGAAGCAGTGTAATTTTATTATTTGATTGGGAGGGTAAGATTTATTTCCACCTTGTGATGTACTCCTTGTTCTTTGTGTCTTAACATTTCTGCTTTTGAAAAGGTGAATATTTTCTCCCAAGACAAGATCTGCTTGGCAGGAATGTTAATCACAGTAAACAAGTATCACCACATCTAGTTTTTTTGCAGTTTTACATAATGAAGTAATTTTGAATACTGAGAGAAAAATTCCAAAGCCTTATATTAGCTACTTAGAAACTTACCTTTGGTAAACTGGACATTTTCACTTGATAGAACCTGCTGTAGTGTAGGAGTGAGGGAAGATGTTTTTTTTTTTTAAGTCATCGTTGTTTAGCTTGATGGAGATGTATTCATCACTCAGCAAGTAATTCTCAGTCCATGCTAATAATATCAAATGTCTAAATCTGTCTTCTTGCTCCTTTTTCAGATCCTGGAGTCTCTGTGGATAGTGATGAGTCGCAATGTGAGCCTCTTGTTTACTACAGTTACAGCATTAGTGACAATCCTCTTCCACAGTGGGACAGCTCTTCTCAATTTTGTGCTTTCAGTGGTAAGTACTGTGTCATTGATCTATGTGGTCCATTTTACTGGAGTAACCTAATTGCACATATTGCAACAATGAAAACTCAAACCTAAAGCATTGAAAACATCTTCTAAACTTATCTAATACCAAAATTCTGTAAGATTTTGCAAATTTGCTATCTGTTTTGGGGTCATTCTAGATGGAGGGCAAGATAGGTAGGGAAGGTAGTAAGTCTTCCTGTCATTCTGTTAGTGAAAAATTCTTGTTTCAGGCCTTGAAGGTACTAAGCTGTAGCTTCTAATATAACTACTGAAACCTTATGGCATGTCTGCATAAGCATATCCCTATACAAGCCATTGCTTTCAGGAGATGGAGTTATTCTTTGCAGGGAAATCACCAATTTTGTTCTCTAGTTGTCTTCTGAAAAAAAAGATTGCATGAAACCATTTTATTTCTTCTTTAGTCTACAACTTTACCCAAGATGGCACATTTAAAATTGTGTCTAAAAGGTTAGCATACAAATCTTGTAAGCTTGGGAACTAATTGCCAGTGATTTCAAGGTACTCAAGCTCAGATACAATATTTATCTTTAGATGCCTAATGACTTATATCAAATTCATTGCGTGCTGCTTCTGTGATGAATGATCCTGACTTTTTGTCTGCCAGCAGAATCCTGCCTCTTGCAGGAACACTTGTACAGTCAGCTGGTTTAGCAGAGGTAGTTGGGATCTTGCAGTGTTGGAATTCTTTTAAAGAATAGATACTTGAACTGTGCTTTTATTTTTTTCATTTTTTATATTTTCTAGTTGCTACAGAAAAGTTTTTACTAGTTTGGGGTGGCACAAGCTAACTTAAATTTCCCAACAAGATAATGCTCAAAGTGTTTAGCTTTTCTACTGTTTACATTTCAGTCCAGTTTTAGTCATCCTGAATAAAAATTAAAATACTGAATTTTATTTTAGTTTTAAAAATTTGTTCTTTAAAGCATGGAAATAATGGACACTTTGTTCAAAAGCTCCATTTGGAAAAATACATCTTCTATCCAAAAATTAAGACAGAATGTCAATCTGTGTAGCACATCCATCTATGATCCAGTAAGACTGTGTTCAGATCTTAAACAGACTTTTCAAAACTGATTATTAGTTACAGAAGTGTCACTTTTATTTCATTTCTGAATACAAGTTCCTGTCTGCACACATGTGCACATGGATGTATGTATATGTCTTTGTGTGAGTGTATAGTTGTGCACATGTGTATACTCACATGGTGCACTCTCTTACTCTGCTCATATTCTGTTACAAAGATTGGGAGAAAAAAAGCTCCATTTGGCTGATGGGCTTCTAGTCCTGCAGGGCATGCACAGATTTTGGATGCTGTTAAACACACAACTAAACAAACAACCAGAAAACCCAAAACGAGGAAAAAACCCAACAAAACAAAAACCTTGAAGCTTTTCAACAGAAAATTGAGTATGAAGAGCAGATACAAAAATATTTACTGAATCAATGGACCTGATGCACAAGCAATTAGGTTGTGTGTTTCTTGATACCTGTGGAAATGCTGAATTATCATTTTGGTAGAGAGTGTTTACCCAGAGTTTTCTCCCTGAATTCAGTCTATCTCTCCTTAGCTTTTAGTATTTAATGTTTTCAGCTACAGGACAAATTCTACAGCATGAAGTAGTAGTCCCTCAATTGCTTAACTATGGAAAGGTCATACTGTTTTGTCTTTGGTAAATTCTTTCTCATAGTCATTGGCAGGATCTTGAATTGTTGCTTAAGAAACAGTTTAGGTATCTCAGATATCCTGTAAAAGAGGTCTGAAAGTTTTGGCCTCCAGTTGCTCTAAGACAGTACATATCTTTTGCTGCTGAATGTAGTATTGAGGTTATTGTACTTGTTGGAAGAGTCAGCAAGCCATTTGATAATACATTATTATATTCTGTGACTACAGGTTCTTTTTGCATTTCTACACCTATTGTGCTAAAGGAAATACATTCATTTCCTAAAAGACAGATACTCCAAAATTCCAAAGTTAATTTTGTGTGATGCTGTGGTCACATCCATCTTCTTTTAGCAGAAATTGAGTAGGATTTGTAAGTTTTCCTGTCTTGTAGTTCAGCTTAGTGCTGTTTTATTCCACTGCTGTTCATTCCCAGCCATTGCTTTGGCTTTCACCCTTCAGGTGGATATGTCTCTCTTGTGTCTCCTTGAGAAAGCAAGTTTCTTCTGTAAACACTGGGGAAGAACAGTGGATAAGCAGATATTATACTTACTGTGCTTAGAGCAAGATGCTGCTGTGTTGAAAACTGCGTGGGCAGAAAGATCTGCTCAGTGGAAGGAAGACACAACATCATCTGAGTACCTGCTTCAGTATAGAATTTTCTACTGATAGCAGGAAATATAGTAGCTTAGAAATGGCAGAGCCCATCAAGGAAGAAAAATTCTAGCCATAATCTCAGAAATACAAAGGATGTTAAAATCTGATTTAAGGTTCTCTTACTTGAAGTTGTAGCAAAACCTAGTTGATGCTGATACTGCTACTGGCACTATACTATCTCTCATTAAAGCAAGGCTTATAATTATTGTTATTATTTTTTTAAGCTCAAAATTAATGTTAACAGCACACTATTAAAATCTGCTGATATAATAACTTGTTTTATTAGCTAGATTAGTTTATCTCCTAAGGCAGAAGATAAACACCTGGGGAGATGGAATATAGCTTAAATCAATATATGGCAATTTGGATGGGATCATTAGAGGTTAATATTTGAATGTGACTTTCAAGTTTAAGTCTGGGAGGGCAGACTAGGAGGAAAATGGTAGTAGCATTTTACTGAGTATAAAGAAATTAGGAGCAGAGACAGATGTCATTTTGAGATTGGTAATGAAATATTGCAATGCTGTTTGCATTTGGTTTTCTGAGCATCTTCAGAGGGAGTGGAAGAGAAGAGCATGAGGTGTCTGCAAACTGGATGAAATGCTTGAAAGTAAGAGACTTATGGAGATCAGGCTGTTTGGCTCATAAAAAAAAGATTAAGATGTGTTTTATTCTAGAATACAAATACGTTGGAAACAAGGAAAGTGAAAGAATTCTTTCTAATCTTGGGAGGAAAGAAAAAAATATCTGAGTCGTGTGCATAAAGCAGATATAAGCTATAGTTTATGTTTGGAGCATACAGAATGGATTTTTCTTGTTTGAGGTATTCTTTTTCAAGATGGATGCAGTTCTGTGATTCATTCTTACCCGAGAAGTTGCTGACCCACTAACAGGAATGTAAGAGAAAGATAGTTGACTGCAACATAGAGGAAGCTAATCCAATCTGATTATCATTTTATTGTCTTTTAACTGAAACAGTGGAACTGCCATCACTTCCACTGAGACTCATCATCAAACTCACAGGAGGAATATTCACTTAGGATTGCCAGATTAACATAAAATTTATAGTTGTGAATTTTTGGGTAATTCATATCTGATACCCAGCTGACTCTTGAGACAGCCCAAATTTATTTGGCAGTTTTGTTTGCTTGTTTTGAGAATAGATGTAACTATTCAGCGATTTTTTTATCTGTTAAACATGCTGAAACAGAACCAAAGAGCCCTACAACTATAATGTTTATCAGCATTCTAGTTCTTTGGTCTAGATGTGACTTTGGAAAGAAGCTGAAGAGAGGCAGAAGTTTTATAATGTCCAACTGTAAATGGTAATTCCTTTTTGGACAGGGGAGAAAATAATTCTTTCAGCTATGTTTTTTTAAATCCAGGCTTGTGGAAGAGCATCTTGTTCCTTTTCAGTAAAAGTCAATATCTGAAGAATAGCTGCATACTCTAATTCTGGGAAGTATTCATTACTTTGTAATTTAAAACTTCAATTTGTTTTGCAGGTGATTTTTCTGACCACGCTGTTCTACCTGTTAAGCTCCAGTGATGAGTATTACAAGCCAGTAAAATGGGTGATAAGCCTGACACCTTTGTCTCAGCCAGGTCCCTCCTCAAATATAGTTGGCCAATCTGTGGAGGAAGCAATAAGGTATATTTCTGATTTCTTGCCATCTGTTTAAATTTCTTCTTTAAATTTGATGTTCAACTGCAAATAATTAACAATTGCAACAGCTTGTGTTTTAAAGATTAATTGCAAAAGTGATTTTAAGAACCCAGCATTGATGATTTTTTTCCCCTTTGATTGTTAATTTGATTGGACTTGGTAAAAATTTTCAGAGATCTGTGCTGTCATGAATAGCAGTGTTTGCAGTTGTATTGGCAGTAACAGCTGGTACAGCTCAGTAGGAGCAGATGCATACAGCAAAAGTTGAAATGGAGGACCTGACATCAGTGCTGTACATATTTCAGAATTATTCAGTTTGAAGTATTTTGTCTACTATTGGAGAATAAGTACTCATTTGTACCTGGAATGTATTAGATATGCTTCTGGAGAATATTTTCCAGTTTAGTTTCACCTGAAAGAAATCTAGTTCATGATCTCCATAAAACAAATTACATCAAAGGGAACACCAGGGGAGCACTCTCCTTATCACACTTGGAACACTACTGTGCTGCACCTACACAGTGGATCCACAGTGTTTCATGCTTAGTCACCATTTTTGTGTGTTGGCTATAAACTATTGCAGTAATTAAAGGAGGATTTTTTAATGTTTTTCAATATGGTTCACAAAGATTCCACAGGAAAGCTATTTTTGGGGTTGTGCAATAAAGTTAATTGCAGATGAATTAAATCATCAGCTTTCACCTGTAAACAGCTTGAAACATTTAACATCCTGGTAATGTAATAAACTGGATTTTAAATAAGGTGTTAAAGTCATGGTGTACTTTTTCAAAAAGGTTGATCATCTGGGCAAAGTGAACAGACTTCATGATGAATTCTGTACAGCCATTGCCTCTTACACCACTGCTTTCTGTGTCATCTTGTGCATACGTACAATACATGAGTAGGCTTTAAACTGAAGAGGTATTAAAGTCGTTTTCCAAACTCATTGCTGAATGTTTGGCATTTTAACAATGGCAAGTTTATATTATGTTGTGTAGGATCTTGAACAAGAATGCTAACTGCTGTAGTGATTTGAAATGAAGGGGCAATTCAGGTAAAAAGCAACAGATTTGGAATTCTGCCAAAAAGTTAATAGCCTTTATCTTGAGTGACTGCTATTGAGTTTTCATTGATCACATGGTTAGTATCTCAGTTCTATCTTTTCTGAATAGTGTGAGTGGATTTAGAAACTGATACTAGTCTCAAAAATTGTTCTCTTTAGCCCAGGGTAGAGGGGAACAGTGTGGAAAAGTAGGATACGGTTTATCTGGGCATGGATGCTGTGTGAGGAGGATTGTATTGAATGCAGTTTTAAGTGTACAGGTATGTGACACAGATGACCCAAGGTATTTCTCAGAATTGGAGTGGAGGAAAGAAAGAAAATAATTTTAGAGAAGCCACAGGACAATGAGTAGGAAAAAGCCAGCATGCATCAGTAACTGCAAACATGATGAGAAAAAGTCAGTGTCTGGAGAATCTGGAAGCAGCTTGTCATACACAAAGAACCTTGGTCTGTGTATTCACTAAGGTAGCCCGAATCAGTCACTCACATTTGATTGGAGTAGCCTGTACTTGATGCCTTATTTGAATTGTTTGGATTGATTTTCTGAGATTTTCAGAAGTTCCTCACTTCTCAGTTGTACGTTGGGATTTATCCTAATGATTCTCAGCTTGTATTCCACTCAAAACTTATTGTGATCTTCAGTATGTAAATATGGCGAGTGTATTAACAATTTCTCATGAATTTATGCATGCCCAGTCTGTTGCCATATGAAAAACAATTGCTACTTCAAACCCTTTCTTTTGTCCCAAAGTAGCAACTATTCTTTCTTTTTGGAGATGAGTTGTTGCTGCAGAGCTAGGAACCTTAAAATGGCTTCTTCATCTCATCTGCAAATGGCATGCAAAATGGATATTAGTGCTTGGTGGTAGGATGGAAGAGGCTCAACTTGTGTTATGAAGTATCAAATAATCAAACATCTGTAATTGCTTTCATCATTAGACTATGGCAGCACTGCACAATATGAATTCACCCTCAAAATATCCATGCTTTCAAGCTGACCAAAAAGATTTGGTTAATAAATCTCAAAAGTCACCAATGGTGTTCCAGCTCCTACTGCTCTTCACCAGGACATACCACATGCACAAAGCTAAGACAGCATCAGTCCTGTCAAGAGGGCAGAGAGATCCTTCTGTCAAGAGATAGACCTAATTTCTCTGTTGCTCATAAACCAAATGACATAAGAATAATCATACTCCATGTTGCCAGTCACTTCTGTGCTCTTTTACTTCAAATGTATTTGTGAAAAGCACTAGGAAACTTGGATGTAATCAAGGAAGTCTGTTCCCTTGTGTGCTTTACCATTTATTTCAGAGGAAAAGAGTAAGGGAAGCAGAAGAGCAGGGCAATAGGCAACTCGTTTCTGTAGCTCAAGAAATCTCTTAACTTAAATATGTTACCCAGCAAGCTCTTAAACAAAGACCTTTTCCCATTTCAGTTTCTCTCATCGAAACTGTGCTGTGTTTTCTATTTTATGGACTATAAATAGCTATAAATTGTATAAATACTTTTCTAACTCCTCTTGATGGGGAGTTTGCAAATACAGTGACAGCTCTCTGTTCACACAAATAGATTTATGAGCTGTATAGGGGTAAGAGCAGCTTTCCAGGCTTATTTGAACTAAGTGTTGAATCTCAATGTTTCTGTCAAAATACCACAGATTATAAATCTGAACTTGAGTGGGAAAAAAATAGATGCAGCTGTGGTGACAGTGTAGGAGTTCTGAAGAAGCTGAGTGTAATCCAAGAACTGCCTGCTTTAAACCATGGGATGAATTGCCCTTCTGGCCTTTGATAGGAAATTTATTCATCCAGGATGCCAGAGAGGCAAAATGCCAGCAGCATGTATCAGGTGGTGGGATCAAGCAGGGATTTCACTAGAGCATCACGCTATGCCTGCTCCAAGAGCTTTTTTGGCAAACCTAGTGGTACAAAGGCAGAGCCATGAAAGAGAGAAGATCACTTGGAGGCACCAGCCACCAAGGACAAGTTGTGCTGGGGGAAGCACGAGTCTTGCTTTGAGGAGGTAACTGTCCTCAAAGGAGGACCAGGGGCCTCCCACAGTAACCATCTGGGTGAGCATGGGCAGGAGAAGGGGCTGGCTGTAGGAGCTCTGCTGTGTCCAACTCTGGAGATGCTGCTGGTGGCAGTGTTCTCAGGGCAGTGATGGGTGCTGCTGGTGATAGTCTAGAGTGAGGGCTTGGGTGATGGTCAGAGATCACCTTCTGCATGGTTGTGGGTGTCCCTTCCCATCTGTAGAAAGCAGGACAGCTGATGGGAATGTCCCTTGCCACGTGGGGAAGGCAGCAGTGATGGAAGGAAGGCCCTCCTCTCCCCAGTCCTTCAGGCCTCAGTCCTGAAGAGATGGCACTTTTTCATGGGGGGCAGTGGGAAGGAAGGGGCCATGCCACCCTTGACAGTCGACAAAAGAACTCTTTTCGAGGTCTCCCATGGGACTGGAAGGCAAAAGGCAATCTAAGGAATGATCTGCTACTAGTTTTGTCTTTTCCTGTGCTGTGAATGTGACTGTAAGCTGGGCATTTGCCTTTACTCCAGATACATGCCTTTGAGTTCTCTCAGTTCTCACAGGCAGTGCTGCCTGCCTCCAAGCAGTCCTCCAGATGGGAACAGGCAGTGTTTGGACTATAAAACAAACACAGATTTGCAAATTGGTCACTAACCAGTTTTCCCAATTTTGAGTAAATTTCATCATGAAAATGCTCCTCTGATTTTAGACTTAACACTAGTGTATGCTTTGTTGTCCTATATTGCATTTGTGTCTCCTCATTGTTTGCATCTGTGGAAAGGCAGCATTTAATCTACAGGGAAGAGGAAAGGTCAGTAATTGTGTGATGACTTCCTAAAACACAGTAAAAAATCTGGGATTAAGATTACTACCAATGGCATGTGCGACCACAGGGATTTCTGACTGATGTATGAAGTACTGGTTCTCTTTCAAGTCACCCAACTAATTCAAAATTCCATGCTGGAGCTTCATGTGCCATTGCCTGTAAATGAGGTGGGAAATAAAAATTTAGGAAAGTTATTATCATTCCAAATACTGCTAGTGCAGTATTTTACAGCAGTAAAAGAGTTTCCGTTCTCTAGTAGTTTTAGTCCTTCAAGCCCAAGTGGTGTATCTGTTTTCCTTTTTCCTTGGTTTGCAATCTCAGGTCTTTCTCAGTGTGATTCTTAACTTTCTTGGTGTGGCTACATTTCATTACTCTTTTTTAATTCTTGATATATTTTTTGTTTGTCCTTTACATTTAATCCCTCCACAGTTCTGTATTTTTTTTTCTTTTTTCTTGCTTTTTTTTTCCTTTTATTTTTTTCCTTTTTTTTTCCTTTTAATTTTTGGGGGTTTTTTTGCCTGTTTTCCATATTGCATAAGTGGGTATCAGGACAAAAATGTGATGAATTACAACAGTAATATTTCATTATGTGTGAGTGTCTGCCTTGACTGACAGTGGTGGTTAGTTCCCTGTGAATATAGTAAATACATGATTTACTTACACTGAAACCACTTAAAGTCAGCCATAGGGATGAAGAAAGGGAAACAGGGAGGGGCCTGACGGCTGTGGCAGAAGGATTATGCCAGTGTAGGTTGAGTTGCTGGAAATCTTTTGGCACCACTCTGTTAGCTTTAGGAAGATAACTTGGTTTAGAAACATGAGGACCACTTGGAAGAGTTTACTGTATTTAGATAATTTAAATTCTCAATAGTAGTTAGTGATTTTTTTCATTGTAACTATAATAAATAATGTAGTATTTTGCCGGTTCAGTGGAATCTCATGTAACAGTGTGAGATTTGCTTCAGAAGGGTTCTGTAAAATAAAGTTGGTTCATGAGTCACCTACTTTACTGGTTAGGTAGGAAAATTAAATTCTTTACCCCTGAAATAGAGAGGGGGTGCTCTTGTCTGGATT